TGTGTGTGTGTGTGTGTGTGTGTGTGTGTGTGTGTGTGTGTGTGTGTTAGAAGAGAAAATTAATTTCTGTTGTTGATATAAGCTGCAATAAACTTAGATGTGCTCTGATTGTTCAGCAAAACTACCATAATTTCCAGCCTATTGAGCACACCTGAATACAAGCCACGCCCCCTAAATAAAAATAAAGATTTGTACATATCTAGGCTGCACTTAAGCCGTGGGTGTCCATGTTGTAACATGAGATATTTACACAAAGATTTTTTTTAACGTTTAATTAAATATGTACCGATAACATACGCAAATATATATATATATATATATATATATATATATGTGTATATAGTAAATGGAGAACAGGGAGGGGGGAAAACAAAGTCCCCCCCATCCCCAGTGGACCACTTTAATTGGTCCATTCTCTGTGACTTGTTCAATAATTTCATTGGTCAGATTTTATTTTTTTACCTTTTATTTACACAGGTAATCTCATTGAGTCACGAGGACCCACCCCACAAAATAGACATGTGTTGGGCAGCTATGTGAGTGCCTGGTGTGACGGGGCTAAATGTTTGGGCATCATGAAGCTTGTTAGCTCATCCAAAAAAAAAAAAACAACAACAAATTAGCCGCAGCATTAAGCCGCGGAGTTCAAAGCATGTGGAAAAAGTAGCAGTTTATAATCCGGCAATTATTGTAGTAAAGCAAAATAAACACAGTTCACTGATTTAAGATCAGCAGTCTGTTTACGATCTAATGGTCCTAAAATGTGATGCTAATTGGGATTTTCATTTGTATTTACTGTCACTTTCCCTTCATACCAAAGTATAGAGTTCATTAAGGAACAATCTATAGATTTCTATAGTAAATTCCTGATTGGGACTTATTCCCAAACATCAGCTCCATATTGTTGATTGATCAGGAAGTTCTGCTGAGTCTTTCTCACAGGAACGATGACTGCAAAGTACAAAAGTACATTTATCCTTACATGTTAAAACCCAGTTGGTTTCATTTTTTTGTTCTAAAACCTGTTCTCAAATGCAGTCTATGAAGTTTCTTTTCCTGTATATTTTGCCAGTAATGAGGTTGTTACATTACATGTTTGTGCTTTGTTTACATGGTCAATAATCCCTCGATGAGCTATTAGCTGATTTCTACAGAAATTCACTTCAAACTGTTGCCGTCTGTAAATATCTCATGCACATGTTACTGTTGAAATGATGAGGTATAATCTGATTGATGACCTTCATTTACAAGTACTCCACCACAAACAACACTAATTTAACAAAATGGAACAATCTCACCAGGTCAATCTGCTAATCCAGTGGTCATTATCTCATCAGTATTGACAATTCAGTTTGGTTAAATTTGCCCCCAAAACTTTTAATTGTGCCTTTTATTGTATACTCTCATTAACTGTGAACAGAATTGCATCTTTAGCTTTTTATTGCTCTTATAGGAGCTTCCATGGATCATTCACAGTTAAAATTTACCAGCAGTGCATTCTGGGAAACTCTTGGATATAAATTTAAATGAGCTTGTGTAAAAATATTTTTATATTATTGTAAAAAAAAAAAAAAAAAAAAAGGCCTAAATTTAGTCAGTCTTTTGTCAACCTTAAATGTCACAGCTATGATTATATATGGAACGTTTCACTTGACAAAAAAAAAAAAAAAAAATCAGATGGATCTAAGATTTTATTTCATTTTTCACTTTCACCTCTCAATTTGAGCTTTCACCTCCCATTTCTGTGACTATCTGTTTCTGCGTTATCTTTCAGAAGAGATTGGCTCAAGCAATAATGTCTGTAGTTGTTGAAGAGCTGTTTATTTTTTGTTTACTGTGGGGAATCATGCTAAAACTGTGGGAAAATAGGGAAATTAAAAAAAAAAAATTAGGCTGCATTTCATTTAATGTGTAATTTGCTTCACCTTTCTGGGGAAAACAAAAAGAGCAAAAATTTTGCACTTAAACTTTGCAGATGCTTGATAAAAATGTCTCTGTTGGTTTTTGCTGCATGTGGACAGATGCAGGACAAATTCTCACAAGTCAGTATTAAAGAATGAAAGGCGGGCAATAATGTATCTGCTTGTTTGTGTGTGTGTGTGTGTGTGTGTGTGTGTGTGCATGGACACAAGTTTGTTTGTAGTGTTGGCAAAATATGAACCAGCAGACATGTTTTTAATGAAACTTTTAGAAAGTAATCATTTGTTGTACACCTACAGCTAGCTGTTCAACACAATTCAACATGGCCGAGCTAAATGACATTAGCAAGCACAAAAATGCTGTAACTTGTCTAATGTACTGATACTGCGGTATATCCAGGGTGGTGGTAGCTGAGAGTCATCCTCAATGCATACACTGGGTGCCATCAGACCTCGCAAGCTCTTTACAAGATCACACAACGTCATTTACATAGTTTGATCAAAACGGCTATAGTGTAGCGCCAGGGGCGATTCTAGAATCTGACCTTTAGGGGGTGCTTAGCCCCCCAGTGCTGACAATGGCTATTAGCTTAACAATGCAGTGGCCATTGGTGTCAGAAACATTTCTAATGTGGGGGGTGGGGGACACATCGGTGTTGTGTGTGTGTGTGTGTGTGTGTGTGGGTGGGTGGGGGGGTCTGGGAAGGGACACACTGGTGTGGGGGCGGCTCTGGGGTTCCTCAGAAAATTTTGAATTAATTGGATGCTATTTCCTGCATTTTGGTGTATTCTAATGGGTTGTTAAACATAGAAGTAAACACTTGATTCAATAACTATTTTAGAGAGCAACAAGAAGTAGCCTGACCAACAGCTCCCCTTGTGTGAATAAAGCATGCACCGCTTCTGTCACACGTCCCAACCCTCCCCCCATCCACACCCGTTCGACAACTGCCAACCACTGTATTGAGCACACTAAAGACACTAGCTAAGATGCTACAGATGTAGAACTCCGCTTCTGTCATGCATGCCCCCCACTCCCACGACTCGGGCCCCTTCTCCAAGCTCCTGTAGATAAGGGGTGTTTACCTTTGGGACAAAAAGAGGCTAAAATCGCCACTGTGTAGCGCTGTCTCTCCTCATCATGAGATCTTAGTTTGAAACCCTGGCATGAAAGGCAGCAGGGCAGGATGTAGTCCTCCAAGGAATGCTAGGCCTTTACTTAGAAATGTTTTGATTAGTTGCAGCAGAATTAACATTTGGAGCACGCAACTGTTCTTACTCTGACGCCAAGTCACAGTGTTCTCCTGGTGATGCAGCTCTGACGAGTCAGTCTTTGTCTCGTTTTCAACAAGCTCTCGGCGTGTAAATATACGTTCTCTTACCGTATTAAAGCAGGAACATTCTGCCAGCTGGAATTGTCTCAGCCCTGGGATTTTCTGCTCGACGTTCCTTTTTGGAGCAGTTTGACACCAACGAACTGGCTCTTCTTGCCTTCTTGTTTGGCTCTGCCTCGACTGCCATTAGATTACTTTACAAAGTGCATTGACTTCAACTTGAACCACAGAGACTCCACTTTAGAAGTAGTATTTCTTGCCAACATCTTTGTGCCAAACATCTTTTGGACTCCTAAAACACCCATCAGTGTTCACAAAGGGTCAGAGAAGGAGGCAGCAGTTTGAAAGTTGTTGCTGGCTGATGCAAACAGAGCAGAGAGTTGAGATTAATTCAGAACTCTGAACCTTGAGTCACCGCTTCTCACTACTTTGTGTTTTCGCAAGCCGGTTAGAAACTATTGAAGGAATGCCTCCAGACACAACGAGTGCTGGGCAACGGTTAGGCTCACATAGACGCAGTCCTGACATCCTGTCGTTTTTCATAACTGAAGATACAGAACGTGAACCTGACGAATGGGAAGCCAACGTGGAGCCCCAGTTCGGTAACTTTCAAATCACCCATTTCAGTCGCCGCACATTTTTCTTACAGCCGTTCTTGGTCGTTGCGTCGTCGTCATTCCATTTGTTGGCGTGGTGAGCGCCAGGTGGGGGTTAAGTTCAGATACTTTGCATTCTCATTTTAATTCTCAGCCCGCAGCACCCTAATGATTCACTGCTGGAGTCAGAGCTGTGGAGCGAGGCCGTCGGACTGGTTTGAGGTCAAAAGGAAAGGGTTGATTCAGGTAGATCAGGAGTAGAGATGAGTCAGCGTGCTGAGCAGAGTGAAACCTGCGCCTAGATTGATCCACTTCCTCTTCCACCTTGATTCTGTGACACACTGTGAAATGTGTATGCGCCCTTTTCCTTATGTACTCCGCTTGTGTGAGAATATCTAATCTCTCTTTCAACAGATTGGTTGATCTTGGTGTGGTCAGTTGAGTTTTTTTGTGGCTATTAAAGACATCGCATGGCATTTGTGGAAACAGGAACTTATTTCTCTTGCCTTTCTCTTGTACAAATACCAACAGTCACTCACGCTGAGCAAACAGTGTTCACAATTGGCTTTTATCTGCGGCTCTGCTCCACATTGACCTTTAAGAGACCGTGTAAGAAATTTGATCTTTAAGACAACACATATTTTGCCAGCACACAAAACCACCTGAAAACTTTTGCGCTTTAGATGTAAAATAAAACCCCCTTGACGTGAGATTAGGCCCTCGTGCTTTCTCAGTGCACTCTCAGTGCGCTCTTCCTATATTTTAATTTTAATGATGTGCACGCTTCTTCTTCTTCACAGGTTTTCCTGCCCACTGAGCGTGACACGAGCGTTCCCACCGGAGATGTTGCTGCCACTCGCCTCGTTTATGTGCGCACCTCATCATGGTCCTCTTCCCTCTTGTTGCTGGAGCCAGTAAGTGACTGTCAGCCACCTGTGGGACAGGTATGCTTGCTGATGCCCATGAACAAAACACCGATGTGATAAACAAAAACAAAAAACAAGAAGAGAAGTTCTTAGCAACCTCTGCTGTGCACATCCTCTGCTCCACCCCATGCTCTCCTGGACTGGCTGGGCTTGTTAGTGGCTCACGCCCGTACCTGTTTGCTGGAACACCTGTTAGACACAAAACGACTTTCCCTCAGTTCAGGGTGACCACACTCGCCTGCGTGGACATATTTGCTCTGCTGGATATTGAGCCCGAGCAGGTGAGGTGCTTTCTCCACAGAGATACTTGAACAGAACCAACTTTATACGATTAGTGTGTAGAGCGGGTTAGTCATGTTTGTCAGTTTAAACTGTGATTATCTCTGTTTGTTCTCATTTTTCTCCGAGTCATGACTGAGCGCTCGTCTTTTTGCTTGTTCATTAATCATTCATCTGGTGAGGACTGCTTGTACTAAAGCCAGGATAAATATACACTCTGAGCTCTTTGAGTCTTTGCTCTATTTCAATTCAGAACAGTATCCTTGAGGAACACCGTGTCAGAGTAATTTAAAAAGAGGGGTAAATTGAAAGCCTGACGAGTTTTAGATGTTTAATATTTGCATTCTGAATTTGGTGCTACTCTTCTGTTTTGCATAAGCCTGCTTTCAGATAAGAGAACGGTCTTTCCCTTGGGTTTTCGTTTTCTTAGTGATTCCCAACAGGTATAGGCCTCGCCTCTGAGGAATTCACTTTAGACTCGGAGTGACCGAGAAATCAACTTATTATTTTTGAAACAGGCAAAAAGAACGATCAAACGAAGCACGTCGCTCTGTGCCAAAAACATCTGCGTGTTTAAATACGTTTACATCCACGTTCGGTCATATGTAGGCGATCGCAGGAATTCTTGTGGAAAGTGGTAGAGCAGGACGATCGGCGTGTTTGAAAGATGACGCTGAGGAATGTTTGACAGAGCCCAGGTTTCTTCTAGGGAGGGGTGCATACCGTGGGAAGAGGTATTTTAAATTGGACATAGTTGAGATTAGTGGCAGTTTGCTGAATGTACACTTTTTTTCCTTCTGTGATGTTTATTGCAGATTCTTCAAAGGGCCCGTGAAGAAAACAAAAGAGAAGCACCATGTCCAACGGTAAGAAGACCAACATGTGGCCTGATGAGGCGACATCACCTTTTTAAAGCTGGTGTTTGCTCTTTAAAACCTGTTTTACCCTTTTAATATAAACTGTTTCCACCTTTTAGGGTTTTATGGATAACATTATGTTGATGGACTACTAAATATACTGACATGTTTTTAATGTTCATAAACGGATGTGTTTTCTTCTAATGTGTTACTTTGGCCACATTTGGTCTCAAATTCTCCACTGTGGTCTTTGAGGTAATCTTCCTGATCGGCCAAATCTCGTCTAACAGAAATGAAGACAAGTCGAGCAAGAAACTCCTGAATTACTCATATATTGTTTACGGAGGTTAAAGGGATAATCTGGTGATTTTTGACGTAATGTCCTGCCAAACAGCAGCAGTGACATCAATAATCGAGTACGGAGTATGAAGACCAAGCTTGGCAAATGGCCAACAAGGGCATGTTTTATAAAGTTTTTCAGGCTTATAAGACAACTTTTTCACAATAATATCACATAGGTGTGAAATACATTAGCCAAATGTAAGCTTCTTTAGAGTTTTGCACGCCACTGTTTAGTTAGTGCACCTGACAACACGTCTGGTCCATCCGAAGGTTTATTCTAGTCCTGGTGGACTGATGCATTCAATGATCTCAGGAGAACAAGGTTCTCATAGGAACACACACATTTTGTTGAGGAAACGACGCCAAAACATAACAAACCAAACATAGAGGTTTAGTGTTAAATGTTCTTTTCACACCTGAGTAAGACATTTTTGTAAATGAAAATGTTTTATAACCCTTAAAAACACACACCCTGGTTTGACTAGCCATTATCTAAAGGAAGTTTCTGCTGTGTTCTTCATAATCCATGACTGATAAGTTACAAACTACTGGTTACTGTTAAGAGTATCCTTTCACCAGACTATTCTGTTAAAGGGAAAGTTCAGATCTTTTGAAGAAGGGTTATCCATCCATCCATCCATCCATTATCTTTTACCCGTTTCTTCCATTTTTGGGTCACGGGGGTCGCCGGTGCCCATGTCCAGCAATCACTGTGTGAGGGGCGGGGTACACCCTGCACAAGTCCATCACAGGGACACATAGAGACAAACAACCATTCACTCTCTCACTCACACCTAGGGACAATTTAGAGTCACCAATCAGTCTAACATGCATGTTTTTGGTCTGTGGGAGGAAACAGGAGCACCCGGAGAAAACCCACGCATGCACGGAGAGAACATGCAAACTAAGTAGTGTTATGTGGAAAGGTCATGGACAATAAATGTGATGTAGATCTTTTAATGGTGTTAGTTTTGAGAAGTACAGTTTAATTCTGACCGGATTGATGAGCTAAAGGCTACCCCGAATGTTGTCACATCCAAAGAGCGTAGCTGCTGTCCTTAAACAACTCATCTCACACTGTTTCCTGCTGGAGAAACAAACCTGCACCGGAAGTGTTTAGCTTGGAAGAGCTTTTGAAAAAATGGAAAAACAATAATCTGACCTCAAAGTTCATGCTCAGTAATCCAGGTAAAAAAAGCCAGCAACGTTAAGTCAGGTCCTTTGTTGAAATGTTTCGTCCTTTATCCAAAGGACTTCATCAGTCTGAGGAGCCACAACAAACTCAGCCCTGCAAGCAGCACACTCATATAGTGGGCCAACCAGTTTGCTGGTGATAAGATGGTTTCTTCTCCCTCGTCGACTCCTCTCAGGCAGCCACGGCCAAAGTGGTTCAAAACTTTGTTGTGTTGAACCACTTTGGTGAACTGTGATGTTTTGCCATATTTGGCATGCCTCAAAGGAGTCGAAGGGGGAGAGAGTGGACTCCAGAAACCACCTTATTACCAGCAAACTGTTTGTCCCACTATGTGAATGTTTGTGGGATTGACTTGTGGGATTGACTTTGTTGTGGCTCCTCGGACTGATGAAGTCCTTTGGATAAAGGACAAAACATTTCAACAACAAAAAAGAAACCAACCAGATGACCTAACTGAACTTTGTTGCAATAATCTGACCCCTTTCATGCAAACAACAAGTGGTTCATCATGTGCTAAGCAATCATAACCTAACATATATCTTTTATTTCTGTGTGCACGTGTTTATGCCTCAGAGGGAGACAAAGCAGCTGTGCTCCGCTCCACTAAAGTACGAACCAAGCTGAAGGGAGACGCCAGCTGGTTGCAGCGCCGCGAAGAACCTCAGGCTGAAACTGAGATGGAGAAGCCATGGTAAAGCACTTTTTAATTCGATTTCTGTTCATCTCACCCACGACTCCCTCGCTCAGTAACTTTCTTCTGCTCCCACGCAGGATGGCAGAAGTTCGAGCCGGACGACTGAACGGAGCTCCTATTGAAACCAGTCCGGATTCTTCGCCAGTAAAACCCGCCCCAGCACCTTTAAAAACTGACTCTGAGAGGTAAAGTCATGCTTCTAATGTTCACTACTTTGTCAGAATAACTTTAAATATAATTTTAACATTAACAAATGTCGTGAATTGACAGTAAAACACCAAAACCAGGATACTTGATCAGGTAGGAAGACACTTTTTCCAAGATCACCTATAAACCCTGTTAAACTGTATTTAAAACCATTGGGAGAGCACAGTCATGTTCTTTCAATTCTAAAGTCTTCACTAAGTTCTAAAATTGTTTAAATCTAACCTCAACACAAAATACACACAACATATTCCACCATGTCATTCTTCATTTAATAAAGCTTCAGTAGAAAAACTGTGCGTGGACAAAGTCCACCTTGTTGCTCACATGGGATTTAAGAGGACAGTGTCAAACAGGTGCTGCTGATCCATTAGTGTGAGCATCTCTGTAAAAGCAGGAGCTTTTGCTACTCCAGAGCATACAGGTGTTTAACACCAAAGACGTCAGCGATGACCTCAGAGAAGCAACTGTTGCTTCCCGTCGGTCTGTAATGGGTCAAAGGTTGTTTCCAAAAAGGTTGGAGTCAATAATGATGATATATAAAAATATACATATAATTGTGGGATGTTTTTTTAATTTCAGGCCATCTTTCCTCGGCATGGAATGAGAGTCTTAGGATTTATTTTTTTTGCCTCCAGATTTTGTCTGTCTTAACAGAATGAGCCCTCGAGGCTAAATGTGATTTATTTGTATAAATAAAGTAGGGGTGCACCGATTGCAGTTTTCTGGCCGATCACTGATCACCGATATCTAAAAAGCCTGACCTGCTGATTCTGATTTTGGCCGATACCGATTTTTGTTTTATAAGCGACAGCATCAGGTGCTATAAGGTCACAATGTCATGGTCAGCGGCCCCTGCTGACCCCCCATCGGCCCCCGTCTCTCACTCCCTCCCTCCCTCCTGGTATTGTTTCAGCCCCTCATGCCATAGTTTCTCTTTCTCTGCTTTGGAATGCCTATCACCCATCTCCAGCTCAAGCCTACTCCTTCCAAGCCATGCCACTCCTCCCTTGTTGCTCACAGCAATCAGCCCTGATTCCATTCACCTGTTCAGCTCTCATCTGGTTCACCTGCTCTGCACCCTTTATAAGCTCCATCTCTCCACCAGTGCCGAGTTATTATACCTCCCATGGTCCCTGATTCTGAAGCCATCACAGTTCTTGTTTCATGCTACAACCTGGATTACCTTACCTTGCCTTGTTTCAACCTCACGCCTGTACCACGGTTTCCTTGCCTGTCCCTCTTTGGATTTTGACTGCACATCAGACCACGGTAAACAACTCTGCTTTCCCTCCACGATTATGGATTACAACTTGGCTCTGGTTTCTGCTCTGTTTCCCCGTGTATGACCCCTGCTTCGTTATCTGGACCCTGCTCTTGAACTTGCCCCACCACAAACCATGTACTGCAGCTGCTCTGCCAGTGATGTCATTGACAGGTGACTCTCTCCTTACAGCCTGTGAAGACCTGTTAACACAACTGATCCCGACTTCTCACACACAGCCACATGAATAAAAACTGTTCTAGTTTTTGCGCTCCTGTGTCTGGCTTATTCTGAATCCAAAACTCAGTCTTAACATACAATGCACCTTCAATTTTTTCAATATTTTATTGAAAAACAGACCCTTGAGCAATATCCTAGAGACAATACAAACTTGTTTTAACTGGCCATGAGGTAGTGCTCTGAAATATAAAGGAAGTTCAGACAATTGTTAAAACAAAAAAATTGGTTTCTCATGTACATTTTTCCGATGTCCCAATATTGAGGAAACCGGGGCCGATAATTTAGCCAGCCGATTTTTATCAGTGCACCCGTAAAATAAAGGTTGAATGAAGTGTACAGCGAGAAAGAGTAATTCACAAGTTAAACATTTAGGACAGCTGCCAATCATCTAAGGAGTGGCGATCCCATATTCACCCCAAGGTCAGACCCTGCAATGCTCAGAGAAAAGACGAAGCACAAAAAACCCCTCTACATTTTTCAGTTGCTATAGGCTAGAGATTATAGTTTGACAGGATATGTAGAAACAAACTGAACAAATGTGGTTTGTTGGGAGAAGTTGCAGGAGCATGCCTCTTCTCTCCAAACAGAATATGATGACACAATTTAAGTTAGCAAAGTTTCAACCTTTGAACCTGAAAACTTCCTGAGCAATGTATCAAACAAGATCCAAGCGCAGAGACTTATAATTCATATTGTGGTATTTAGATTAAACCAAACGCATAACGGCACAACCGCCAAGCAGGGTGGTGGAGGGCTGATTATTTGGGCTTGTTGTACACCCACAGGATCTGAGCACAACAGGTGAAGCCTAAACTGGCTCATGATACAACAGAACATTGATCTCAAACACAGCAGCAAATCGGTTGCAGTGAGCCGAAGTCCAGACCTCAGCCGGGATTAAATGATGTGGTGGCATGTTAGGAAAGCTGTGCAGAAACTGTGGGCTGCAAACTGAAGCAGCGTTGTAAATAAGAGTGGGCCAAAATTCTGCCACTGCGATGTAGCTGAAAAGGACTCCAGAGTTTTTACTGCTGAAGGACGTTTCACAAGTTGCTGAATCAATATTTCATGCAAAAATTTTCATTTGGGTTTCATTTTCTGTTGAATAAACGCTCTACGTGAACAGATCTTGATTTCAAAACAGACACAGAACAACATACCATACCATTTTATTTATAGATCACTTAAAACGGCTACAAGGCCAACCAAAGTGCTGTACAGCCAGAACAGACAACACACGAAGCGATATACAAAATGAATTAAATCAGAAATAGACATAAAAACGATGCAGATAATAAATATGACGACAAACCAGTGTGGAGCGTACAGGTTCAAAACACAGATCCTCTGGTGTTGAAAGCTACTGAATAGTAGTGAGTTTTTAAACTGGATTTGAAAACCGAGAGGGAGGGGGCCAGTCTGACAAGCAGAGGTAACTCGTTCCAGAGTCTTGGTCCTGCTACAGAGAAGGCCCTGTCACCTCTGCGCTTAAGACGAGTTCCTGGAACAGTGATGAGCAACTGGTCTGCTGACCTCAGGGAACGTGGTGGGACATACGGTTGTAGCAGATCAGAGAGATAGGGGGGGCTGTTCAGTGATTTGTAGACATACAGGAGTATTTTGAACTGGATTCAAAGGTGAACCGGTAGCCATGTGTAGTGAGGCCAAAACTGGTGTAATGTGCTCTCTTTTGCCTGTACTGGTTAAAAATCGGGCTGCTGCATTCTGGACCAGTTGTAGTCGTGCAATAGAGATCTGACTGTTACCAAACAGGAGCTAATTGCAGTAATCAAGCCTAGATGTAATGAATGCATGTATTACATGGTGGAATCTGGTGTGTGTTTGTGGACACTTGAGGTTCAATTTAAATAGCTATAGAATCTGGTAAAGACAAAGTTTTAATATATCCTCCTGATACAAAAAAAAAAATGTAAGCGGATACAGGTTCTTAGACAAATAAAGTTATATAGAACTTAAAGCAAATGATGACGCTTGATTCTTCCTTTCAGAGGCGTTTTCACCAAACTGGACGACAAGCCTGCTTCTTCCAGCGTCTCTAACGGCTCAGTGTAAGAGCCTCTGCATGAAAACAAACTCCGTTAATCTCTATAAAATATCTGAAAAGTTGAGTTTCTGGTTCTTTTCTTTTTCTAACAGCCCCGCTACAAAACAATACACCAAAAAAGCCTCAGAGAGCTACAAGAGAATGTGAGTGCACAATTCAGATTTCCACACAACCGCCTGCAGCTCTCTACCCTTAGATTTTCATGCAGCTTTCTGTTTGTTCTCCTGTTCTGCAGAGCCCCCCACATTGTGAGGAACCCTGCACCGTCCCTGGAGGGCGTGCTTAGCCTCGAGGAGCAAGAGAGACGGTGAGAACTCGACATTCCAGGAAAAAAAAAAAGAAAAATATATGAGATTGACATCATTTGTTTTGCAGGAAGGAGGCAGCCAGCAGTGTTTTGAAGAGGTCTTCAATAAAGGAACGGTCCTATGTGCTTTCTGCTGCCAAGAAATATGAGTATGCATGTTTTATCTCCCTGCTAATGGTTATCAGAAGATTTAACTGCCTTTTTAAAATGCATTCTGTTTGTAATGACGTATAAATGAGAGTTGTTTGTGTTTGGAAAACCCTCAGGACCATAGATGTGTCAGCTGACACGCCACTGGTCAACAGCAGCGCAGCATTCGTGGCTAAAAGGTAAAAGCTGCATAATGTCTCTGAGCCCGGAGCCAAGAGGGGGCGAACACAAAACTCGCTCAAGCTGTTTCTGTGGAGCCCAGCTGTACACAAACACGGTTATGTGTGTGTGCGTGCACAGGGTGCGGATTATCGGTGAGGATGATACTGATGAGGGTCCTGCGACTCACACACCTGCCAGCACTGTGAAGACCTCCCCTGATGTTGCTCCCACATCTGCTGCCTCGGCGCCGGTGCCCAGGCCACGCGTTACGTAGGTCTCCTTCCACGTTTCACGATCAGAACTTCATGGAGTCTGGAGGACTCTGTTTAACTCGTCTGTTTGGGTTTCAGAGTCAACACCAGCGTGACAACGGATGCTGAAGTGGCTGTTACCAAGCCAGTGGCTCCAAAGGTGGTTCAAGTCAGCCCAGGACTTGTAAAAGACCCACTCCCACAGTCTGAGGCACAAAAAGGCCCACTCAAAGATGTAAAACCAGATTCCAAATCGACAGGTGTCACTGAAAGTGTTCAAGCAGCTCCTACAGACTCGCAGGTTGACGAGTCAGACAGGTCTGACGTCCAGACGGTCTCGTTCATGCCAGAGAACCTGGTAGCACCTGCTCCACAAGCTCCTGCCCCCGTGGCCCTCCCCATGATGAAGACAGTGCACATCACACTGGTGACTGATCTCGAGCCGGAGCAGGAACCAGAACCAGAACGAGAGCAAGAAGCAGGACCAGAAGCAGAGGCAGAACCAGAGCCAGAGCTAGAACAAGAAGCAGAACCAGAGCTAGAACAAGGATCAGAACCAGAGCCAGAGTTAGAACAAGATTCAGAGCCAGATCCAGAACCAGAACCAGAGTTAAAGCCAGAATCAGAGCCAGAGCTAGAACAAGAAATAGAAGCAGAACTAGAACAAGAAATAGAACCAGAAGCAGAACTAGAACAAGAATCGGAACCAGAGCCAGAATCAGAACCAGAGCCAGAGCTAGAACAAGAAACAGAGCAAGAGCTAGAACAAGAACAAGAACCAGAGCCAGAGCCAGAGCCAGAATCAGAGCCAGAGCCAGAATCAGAACCAGGACCAGAATCAGAACCAGAACCTGTGCCAGCGCCAAAGGCAAAATCACGGTTAGTCCTTCACAAACAACAACGATGTCCCTTTTTACATACTTAAAATTTTTATAAAGTCAAATATTACAAAAAAAATAAATAAAGACATAATATATATATATATTTAAGAAAAGCTTCTAGTCTGCTGCGTCGCATGTCAACGTTTTATTTACAAACCCCCTGATCAGTTTGTACCTGTGTATGTTGGGGATGACTCTCATCTACTACCACACCCAGTTTTAACCCAACATCCACCAAACTGACTGCATCTGAGCCAGTACTGTATTTTATAAGGTCGGCTCGCTGTGGCGGCCATCTTGAATGGAGATGGCTCCAGAATCGGACCAGTTATTGATCTAATGACAACATATCCGTTGATTACTTTCTGTAAGTTTGATTGAAATCAGTCCAGCATGAAAATAAATATTTTGCTAATAGACAGAAGTGACTCAAAAATGTTCATCAGGAACATTTAAATAGGACAGAAAAGATGAAGGAACTGATCTGTGGACGACTCTCAGCTACTACCACACCAAATTTTAGTCCACAATATGTAAAACTGACTAAGTTTGATTACTGTACTTTCGCTGTATAAGTCACACCTTTTTGTATAAATTTGCATGCCCTGTGGTTTATACAGTGAAGCGACTTATTTATATTTTTGTCTCAAATTTATAATCCAATTTTTGACTGAGATCTGATGATTTCATTCATTCTGACATGGAAAATATTGAACACTACCATTTTCAGCCACTAGAGGGTTCTCAACTAATATGGCAAGCCAAGTGTCTCATTAATAGGTAAAAGTGGCTATTAATGAGACACTTGGTTTGCCATACTAAGCCACCTTTGTCACGCTCCGGAACACCTGGAGCAAACATCAAATCAGCTGCATTTTGCCGCCCAAGTGAAATGCAGCTGATTTGATTGTTAAAGTGCTTTTATTAAGCAAAAGTTCAACTGAGACACACCTTTACTATAATGTCGAGCAAACAAATAATTGTTCTTAGGTGGTTATCTTGTTACATTTCAAAGAAATGCACAACAAGTCCTCCCTCTGCATGCTAGAGATGCACTCGGATCCAAATAATCTGAACTGAACCGGCCCCAGCCCGCAGCCATCATCACTGAACCCCACCCAATCCGACAAATTAACAGTAATTACAGGTCGGAACACCACCCCCCATCATTTTTAATTAAGTTTTGACTGCTTATACCATAGTATACCATAGACTATTATTAACGGTTGGCGGACGTGCGCAGATGAGGGGGCAGAAGATCAGAGCTGAGGAGCCATCAAAGTGCATTAAATGCTTCCCCTGCTTCTGCCTGCATCCTGCTCTGACATGTCGGATATTTTGTGATCTCACCTGTTTGGGTCATCAGCCGCACGCGTCCTCTGAGTGCAGCGGCTGAATGAATGTCCATTTGGGCTGATGGATCTCTGGCAGCAGTCCATCTGAAGCTTAACTGAACTTTTTACCTCTTTCAACCAGCCAGTCAGCAGGCGGTCAAATGGTCGCGTATGGTGGGTGCAATATGGCAAGTCATGTTTGCATATATTGGATCGTCGGCCGCGTGCGTTCCTTACGCAATAAATAGCCTGACACCGACCCGGCCCACGCATTAAGCACATTAATATGGCCCGGTCTGAATCCAGGTTGGGCGGGGCCGAGCTTGGGTTAGAAATTACAACTCTATTGCCACAGCCATGAACTGATTTTTGAAATGTAGCTGACCATTAAAGAGCATTTATTAAGGAAAAGTTAGACTGAGACACACATTTGCTATAATGTCGATCAAACAAATAATTGTTTTTAAGTGTTAATCTTGTTAAATTCTTGTTAAAGTCCTCCCGTGCACACTCCCACAACCGCCATTTGGCAGCCGATCGCTTTTTGGCACAACACTGGCCCACATTTCCAGGTGGTCAGCGGTGACACATAATAAATGTGACTTACATGTCGAAGCGACGTATTTGTTTTTTCCACTTTATTAGACATTTTTAGTCCGATGCGACTTATACAGCAGTGTGACGTGTACGGCGGCAAGTACGGTAGTCGTGGTGGCCCTCTTGAATCAGACTCCAGAAGTGAACCAAATGAGCATCCAGTGACAACTTTCTAAGAGTTTCATTAAAGAGTCCAGTGGTTCACGAGATATTTTGCTAACAGCCAGACAAACACACAGACACAGGCAATGATTGTTTTTCATGGAATGGGCTGTAATGAATAGTTGAGAGGATTTGTTTCATGAGAAAATAGTTTTTGTGTGTCGTAATCATTTAGACAAACCGCAATAAATTTTCATTACATTCAGAATATTGTATTTTTAACTTCAGTCTGTATTTTGTTGAAAGTATTTAAAACTTTCCCATAGTTGTGTTTTGTATGCTACATAACGTAAGTGAAGTAATACTGTTTTTATTTTATTTTTAATGACTTTCACTGTTATTGAGTTAAAGGTCTGAAAACTTCTTTTATGCACTGGAGTAACAGAGCCGTTGCAGAATGGTTTTTCCAAATGTGCTTTTCTTTTGTTTATATCTTATTCTTTCATGTGTGTGATTGAAAACTGCCACAAACTCCATGTTTTTGTTGCGTGTCTGTTTTCACAGCTCCACCGGTGACACGCTCGCTGCCTTGTCTGACACCCTCATTTCTTTTGACACACACTCATCCAGGTATTTCAAAAATATGTATTTATATACTATAAAACAGTGCAATATTTGAGAGAAGTCATCTCCGTCAGGGCCACATTATTGCCCACAGCTTCTGGAATAATGCAGTTTGATCACAGAAGTTTGTTTTCCCTCCAGCTTTGAGAAGGCCAAGACGACTCCGGCGAAGGAGGAAGGAGGAAGCTCAGAGGAGAGGTAGAAAATCAATACCTCTCTTTGTCGAGTCAAGGCAGAGCTGCTTTGAAAATAAATATGGCCTAATTGCCATTGTGTTCACTTTGGAGGAATTTCCAAGTAACACAAATCTTGGCTTCAAGTGCCTTCAACAACCTGTGCCCCAAATTAGGTTTGATTAAATGTGGTTTAAAAATATTTGCTAAAGAGATATATGTGCTTTCCATGCCAAGGCAGGTGCACTAACAAGCTGAATCCCCTTTTTTTTGCTTTCTCTTTGTCTCGCTGCAGCGTTGAACAGGAGCCAGCTCCAGATCCAACGCTCGGCAATAGAGAACCAATAACAGACGATCTCCTGGGCTTCAGTGATAGGTTTGTTAAAAATATGCTCCTACTGATAGTGCACTTTAGTTTTTTACATTGGAGATCCTTTTCCATATGGTGGCACTGTTGGACCTCCTGCAAAACATCTTTCCTCCGCTGGCCTGGTTTAAGCTTTGAAATCTCCTCTGATTACAAGAAAAACTCTTTGTTCGTTAACTTTTTAACTTTTTCCTCCTTCCTGCCTCTGCAGCCCAGAAGAATCAGCAGAGCCTGTTCCTCCCAGCCCGGGCCGCTGGAGTCAGGATCTGCTCAGTGAATTAAGCAGGTACATAAGAGTTATTGAAAACTGTTGCCTCCTCAGTAGAACATCAATAGTTCCTTTGTAAGTAAGAAGCCAAAATATCCCATAACTCACCTCTCTGCTACTGGTTTTTCTCTGTTTTTAGTGCGTCAAACCCAACAAAGCCAGTAAGTGTGCAGAAACTCCTGGCTGATGATGTCATTGTGATGAAGACAGAGATTCGCAGGTGAGAGAAGTCCTAAAAACAGAATCACCTTCCACTTGTGTCCAGGGTGTGAATTATACAATGAATTGCCTTTTTCTTCTCAGAAAAGCAATCCCATCTTATACAGGCCAATGATTCTGACTTATCATTCTCCCAGTATTCTCCTCATTTTAACATAACGTCCACCACCTATAATATAAATGTAGAGGACAATAAGTGACGTTTGGTACACCACTTCTAATAAAATCCAATACAGTAGTCCCTCGCTTATTGTGGGAGATTCGTACCTTGAAGCCCCGCGATAAGTGAAAAACCAGCCACCTGCCAGTGCTCTTGGCCACGCCCACTTCTTCGCTGCAGATCAGAGATTATGTCAAGCTGCAGGAGAAAGCTTCTCCTAAAGCTTCTCCTGCAGCTTGGGCTGCACACAGGTGCAGCAGGTGCTAATTCATTTAAAATAATTTATTCTAAATAAAAATTCGTGCTGGTCGTGCGGCTCATCCCTCAATCAGCCATTTGTGTGTCATGTCCAATCTTACTTTGAAAACCGCAAAGTGGCGAGTCCGGAAAAAATGAACCGCGCAGTAGCGAGGGACTATAGTAACATATGTCATTAAAGTTTACAAAAAAGTTATTCTGAATAAAATAAAATTAAAATAAAAACTGCCAACAAACATCCAAACATCTGCACGAACAGCACAAAGAGGGAGATTTGAGTTCTAATGAACATTTATATTAAGTCTGTTTCTCACTGTTGTTAAAGGCAGAAACCACAGAGTAAAATACAAATAAAAATGTCAGCTATTCTCTTAAATATAGTATAGTGGAAAGAAATGGACTTTCTAAATCAGCAATCTGATTAAATGATACAGGAGAAAAACATAGTTTTTTTTTTAAAGAAGTGGAAGGTAATGGATTTCTTGATGTGATCCTTCTGTCCGGGTCATGGAGAGCTGGTGTCCAAGACCAACAGTCACTATGTGAGAGGAGGGGACATCCTGGACAGGTTGCATGTCCATCACAGGGACACTCAGAGACAAGTAATTATTCACACCTAGGGACAATTTAGAGTTACCAATCAACCTAAAATGCATGTTTTTGGTCTGTGGGAGAAAACCGGAGCACCTGGTCATGAAGAAAACCATTGGTGAGAACGTACAAACCCCACCCAGTAAGGCCCCAGGCCGGGATGCAATCCTGCAAACTTTGAGTGGCGAGGATCAGACTAATAACTAATGACATGCTAATGACTATTAGCATTTCATTGTTGTTCATTTATTTATTTGATGCAATAAAACACAAAACAGTACAGGAAAAATTACACAGTGCAGGAGGAGGCAAAAAACTCAAGGAGCTTATTTTAAAACCTTCCCCTGGATAAAACCAAATAAACTAAACAAATGTATCAAACATAAAAACATAAAAACACCATCAGTGACATAAATAAATAAAAGACAAATAAGTACAGTAAAAATAGATGTAAAGCAACAATAAAAAAATACCTTGAAGTATTTTTTTTTTTTTTACACAAAATGGCTAAAACTGTCAGTTTCACAGACACTGAGCTATAATTTGGAGTGGCAGCAGCTGAGAGTCATCCACAACCTGCACTCCAAGTGCTGACAGAACAGACGAGAGTAGATTATTACACAAGTAAATCCCACTTTGTCTGGCTTTATAGAAGAACGCTTCCTTCCAAATGTCCTCACATATTTTCTCTCATTACTGCACATATAAGCAATCGAGCCAGCCTTTATTAGATTCTTCTTCCTCACAAATCTAAAGTTTGATCCAAAAGTGGTACAGCCAGAATGCACGGCTGCACGTTGACAACAAAGTCCCAGACTCCTGAATGAAACACCCCATTCTGTGTAACTAAAAGCCACGTTTCATCCGCTCTTCGACTGGAAGTGAAAAAGACTGCTCTGCACTGATTTTGGCTTTGTTTTGTCGCCACCAGCTTCAGCGAGCTGCCAGAGGAGGAAGAGGAGGAGGCGGCGAAGCAGACAGACGAGACAGCTGAGGAAACACAAAGGTAGAGAGAGATGACAGGCGGCTCTTAAACAATTATCTCTCTGCGCAGAGCTGTTCCTTCTTATGAAGCTTGTTTTTACTCAGATATGCTTCGTAATGATTTCTACCAGCTCTGACTGCAGCTTTTGGCCCCTCAGAGGCAGCTGCTGGAACGACCAACGCTGAGATTATTCCTGACAAAAAGTGCTCAATGCTCAGACAGGAAGAAAAAGCCATATTTAGATGGTCTCAGTTGTTAAATAGTTCAGTGGATTTCAAGTTCTCCTAATGGGCTGGCTCTGTAAATAGTGTATGAGAACAGCAATAAACTGTACTTGTCCTTTTCTCCATGTAGCAACGAGGACAATGCAGAACTCTGGAGCTCACACGTCACAACCACCACAGTCACTAAATTCAGGTACTTTATTTATTTTTATTTACCCTTTATTTATACAGGTAGTCTCATCGAGTCACGAGAACGAGAGACCTGTTTTTGGGAGCAAACTCGAGTCCCTGCTCCGTTTTTGTTTATCATTCAAACCACATTAAATCTTTCCATTATGAGTCAATGTGATCAGAATTCCTCCGACACGCGATGGGCCATGCTGACAATTGAGAGTGAAATCAGTGTGAAATTGTTTTTCAGCTCGGCTGATCCGTTTGATCCGTATCCGATAGGGACTGCATCCCAGAACAGGTAATCATACTGGTTCAGAGCTTGTGACTGTTTTCCAGTCAGCCCAGATAGAAGGTGTCTCGACATGCATAATGCAGCCTTTTCTGATTAGGGGTCACTTTTTTCCATTGCAGCCCCTCTGACCTGCGCCAGCCTCTCTCAGATATTTCCATCAACAGGTACGAGAATGATAACACAACAAGCCCCCCCCCCCCCCCCCCACCATCCAATTCCATACTGTAACCTGTGCTTGCTGCATTGACACATCATGTTGCTACATAATGTCCTCATTGCTCGAACTGCTGCTGATAATACAGTTGTTAGTCACAATCAGCAGTTATCACTCAAGAAGTGTTGTTGCAAGCGTTCTCTTTTATGCTGTTTTATTATTCCAGTTCACCTCAACCATCCACAGAGGACACTAGTTCAAGTCCAGACTTGACGTAAGTTTGAGTTACAAAATAAAAAAAAAATTAAAAAAAGAACAGCTTGGAGATCCTTCTTGTTTCGCAGTGGACAGGGTGACAGATGCTTACAGACAACACTGTGATCTGCAGTGAGAGTAGTGTGCAGGTGGAAGAGAGCCCAGAGAGGGAGTGGTTTGTTATGAGGGAGAAGCCTATCGACGTCAGTAGATGTGAGATATATTGGAACTGTTATGTTTTTTTTTATTTTTCACATGCAGGTCAACCGTGCAATAAAATGTTCAGGACGAGAAGAACCGATTTGCCTCACTAAAAAATAATAAAAATAAAAATAAATAAATACAAAGAAATACTAAAGCATGCAATAAGTTTGCAAAATAAAGTTCCATAAAGTTTAAAAAAGTTATTTACAAGGTCCAAAAGAAATATAGCAAACAACAACATGGTAGAATGTAACAGTGCAAGTAGGATGAATTAGTATAAATACGTATTTCACAGGTAGCAATATTAACTTAAATGCACATGATATATATATATATTGCACATATATACTACAAGGGTTGTATGACAGGTTATTGCACAGGTAGTGAGTAACATTGAGATAAATTGAATTATGACAGTATGGTAGTGACATACATGATACAGCCACACAGTGCAGCAGCAATAAACACATTAGGTGTCACAGATGTGTCTTAGTGCAATGTTATTGTCAAATGTTCAGTGTTGTTATCAAGAGCTCAGAAGAAGTGTGCTGATTAAAGGGAGGCCAGGACAGCAATGAAACTGGAGTAGAGATGTTGAGGGTGGATGTGGACATCTGTAAGAATGAAAGGGAAGGTTTAGAGGGTGGTGGTGATGATGTACAGTCTGGAGATGATGGCACTAATTAAAAAAAGAAGTGGTCGAAATGAAGAATGTACAAATTTCACTGAATCTTGGAAATAGACAGGATTAAAAATGTGTATATTAAAGTGTCAGGTCAAGTTGAGTGGTTTGTGGACAAAGTTAGTGTTTCGACATGTGCAGAGGAAGGAGAATGGATATATTAGACAAAAGATGTTGAGATACCAGGGAGGAGGAAAATAAGGAGGCCACAAGAGAAGTTTCATGGATGTATTGAGGGAGGATATGCAGAGGGTTGATGAGACCAAGGAGGATGATGAGGGTCGAGGTGCGATGAAGACGAGACAACCCAATCCCAGTGTTAAGAACTTTAATCTACCTGCTGCAGGTGTGTCATGCAAATGTTTTTCTTTCCTTCATTTTCATTTGTCTTATTGGCAGCACGAGCAGTAGCACCCCGACGTCCCTTGCAGACGACGACATCCCCATCAACACTGACACCACAAGGTAATAAATCTGCGGCTAAGAGATGGAAGAGGACAGAAAATCTGCAGGAACTGATCTGACTCGACCTTTGCAACCCTCTGCCCCCTTCTTTTTAATAGTTCCAGCTCCCGGCGGTCCTGGATGCACTCGTGGGAGATACCCCAGCTGACACATCACACAGAAGAGAGGTGAGGACACCACTTTGAGTCCCATCTTACTGCTCCGCTCGTCTTCATTCAGCTACATCTACCCGCTCGTGTCCATTACCAGCTAAAAGCCTTTCGATGTTTGTCCCCCCCCACGCTCTCAGCCAAGAAGATGCTGCTGAAGCAGAAGCACAGGAGCCAGCTGAAGATGAGGAGACGGTGATCATGTTTGAAAGAAAGTAAGTCATCTCTTTAATAAAAAGCGCCAGGTGGCTCCTTTTATCCCCATAACCTTCTTTCCTTTCCTGGCGGTGCAGTAACCAGGCTCTTACAGCATCTGCTCGCCAAGCTGGAAGATATTGTTCACTGGTGCTGATGAAAATGGGTCAGATATTTGTTACAGCTCGCCCTCACAAATGCGATAAAGAGCCTGCCCTCCTGTAACCTCATCCCCGCCCTCTTTTAAGGATATGCAGAGGGTGAATTTGCCTCATTTTCACTTTCAGGTCCACTGAAAATGACTCCCCGTGGGACAGATGGACATCACCCACCATTTATACCATCAGTGCTCCAGGTGTGGATGAGGATGAGGAGGAAGAAAGGTACTGTTACAAAAATCAAGCTGATTAAATGCACATTTCAGCACTTTATTTTGCATCATCTCAAAATGTGTGGGTTTTAGCTGCTTACATAAAAACCACTAAAATATGTAAAAAAAAAAAAAACGATGCCAGAGTTTGAAACTGAGATCATCTTATGTGGACAAAGGACAGTGTTATGGTTATTTTGGTAACGTGAGGACTGATGCGTTGACTACATTATCAAATTTAAATTTAACATCTGTTAAGATGACTGAACTACAACCGTCTTTGTGTTGGTCAAGGTCAGTTAGCTGTGAAGGCCAGGGGCTGCGGCAGCTTGGTGGTCAGTGTAATCTTGGTCTTGTAATCCCGAGGTTGCGGGTTTGAGACCGGGTTGTGTCAGGAAGGGTAAAAATAACTGCTAAATCTTTCATGCGAGTCCACTCATTGCAGAAGGGAGCAGCCGAAAGAAACTAGCTACGATCTAGAAATGGGTTGACGTCAAAAGTTAATTTGTTTCATTAACTCCATCCAGTGATTCATGAGATATTTAGCTAACAAGCACACACGCACTTATTATTTTGAAAAATGTTAATTCCGTTTGATTCATTTTATTTATATAGAGCCAAGTCACAACAAAAGTCGTCTCAGGGCACTGAACAGAAACATTCATATATAAAGATACGGAACAATAAGATCTCTAATATAAGATGGAGCTAGGTTTTTGAGGGCTTTGTAGGCTAGAAGTAAGATTTTTGAATTCAATTCTGAATTTGACTCGTGTCTCTATGTGTTTTGTGTTCTGCAGGCTGGAGGACACACAGACCGTCACTACCATCACCACTATCAGGCTGGGACAAAACTCTTAAAACTTGTGTTGTGTGATGAAAAAGTGAAAAATCCTTCAGACAATAACGGATTTATTGATTACGTTTTCAATAACGTTGAATAAACGTTCGAAAATTATGTTACTTAGCTTCGTATGGTCTGCAGAATTGTCCCTTTCTGAATTTCATTCACACCTGCTGACAGCGGTGGTTTCTAATAAAAGTCTAATTCAGTTTCTTCACCTTCCAGGGAGATCCAGCGAGAACCAGAGCCCGTTCTGGATCAGTAAGTTTATGATTTTGTTAGATGGTATAATGCAAAAATGCTTCAGAGTGTTATTTCCTATCTTTGGTTTGTTGATGTTCTTTCTTTATTATAAAGAAACTTCCCTTAACCAGAACTTTTTGCTCTTTATAACTCAATAAACTCTAAGCGAGCATGCATCGAGGATAGTGGTGCTTAATGTGTTCAAATTAATTTAAAGTTATTCAGTGCAGTTCATGTGAGTTCGTTGTCCACTTTTATCCACTAGAACGGCTTCTGTTTTTTTCATAATGAGGGTGTTTTAGTTTAAGAGCTTTAGGCCAAACCCCGCAGGAACACAGCAGCTTAACGCTCGAAGCAACATGCACTGATACCTGCGACTTGTGCTTTTAACAGATCCCCGAAACAACTCTACCCAAGTAAAATGACAAGATCAGCTCTGCCATTGTCTTTCAATTTGCCCTCATCTCCCTGCCTCTAATTATCAGCCTCCAGATGTCAGATTGATGATGCGCATTAGAGACAACCTTCTGTCAAATCACAGCCCACTAAAAGTCTGCCATTAGCGAGTAATAGCAGAAAATGGAAGACCTATCGTGCGACGGGCCCTAAAAGCCATTACACTGCTGTCGTCAGGGAGTGAAAGATGAGACTAATGCTGATCCACTCCGTCTACAGATATGTGGCCAGGACTGTGGTGCAAGCGGAGCAGCGTGACCGAACGCCTGAACCTGAAACCAAAAAGTCAGTGGATTAAAGTCAAAGTGTCAGCTAATGTCTGGTCACACCAAGAGCTCACTTCTTTTAAAGTCAGATTCTGTGGAACCATTATGATTAAGTAATATCTTACCTGTTGTAGATTACTCTTTGAATAACTTTGGTTAGGATAAATAGTTTCTGACCAATTGGACGAGCAGCTCCAACGACTCTAATGTGAATTATTTCAGAACCATTTGTGTAAATGCTATTTTGTAAACTTTTATAGTGCTGTCAGTCTCTCTTTATATGGTTTTTCCAATAGAAAAAGGATGATGTGCTAATAGTGGCAGCAGCAGCTAGCTGTAGGACCAGAAGCTCTGCAGCTAGCTAGATAAATTTCATAGCTGATCATGCAAATGTCTGATAAATTTGTACTTTGCTGCCAGTTCTGCATTATATGTTTAAAATGTTTATTTCTATGGTTCTTTGCAAATACTGTCAGCAGCAGCTCTGAGCTGCTCGACACAAAGTTTCCCATTGGGAAATCTAGTTATGTGAACACATGGTGATCCATTTTTCTTCCGTACGTTTTTCGGCGTGATTCTCCTGAGTTTTCAAACTTTTTCATCCATCCATCCATCCATCCATTTTCTTTACCCGCTTATTCCATTTTGGGTCACGGGGGTCGCTGGTGCCCATGTCCAGCAATCACTGTGTGAGGGGCGGGGTACACCCTGGATGGGTCGCAAGTCCATCACAGGGACACATAGAGACAAACGAGACAAACAACCATTCACTCTCTCACTCACACCTAGGGACAATTTAGAGTTACCGATTAGCCTAACATGCATGTTTTTGGTCGTTGGGAGGAAACCGGAGCACCCGGAGAAAACCCACGCATGCACGGAGAGAACATGCAAACTCCACCCAGAAAGGCCTCTGGACCGGGGTTTGAACCAGGGACCTGCTCGCTGAGAGGCAGCAGCTCTACCAGTTGCGCCACCGTGCTGCCCCAAACTTTTTCAACAAATCATAAATCAAAAACGTTCAGCTCTTTCAGGACAATCCTGCCATGACTTTTGTATAGGTGCAACTTTAGCTTTTTGAAACATTTAGCCTTTCCTGACATGTTTTTTTTTCTCATAGAAAATTAATTGAGCTCATTTTACATCCTTCAAACCTTCAGATCCGTTTACAACCTTTTACTGCTCCTTTCACATTTTGTTCCAGTTCAGCTTCTTTGTGCAAACTTAAAAATTTGCAGCTAGTTTCTGGTAAATTCAGCCGTTTTCATTTTCAGCTGTTTTGTGCTACTTTCAGCTACTTTCTGCTAACTACAACATTTTTGTGCTTCTTCTAACTTCTTTATGATAAATTTGAGCTTGTTATGCTTCTTTCAGCTGATTTCTGCAAGTTTCAGATCTTTTTGCTACTATTTAGCTGTTTTTATGCCAATTTAAATTTTTTTCAGCTAATTCCACATTTTATGCATTCATTTAAATTTTTTCAGCCTAATTCAGCAAAAATGTGCGCTCTCCACTTCTTTCTTGTAATTTAAGCTTCTGTCTGGTTTTTTAGCTACTTTTCAGTTGTTTTTTTTGGTGCAAATTTCAGCTTTTTTCAGATAATGTCCACTTTTTTATGCTAATTTCTGCTTCTTTCAGCAAACATGTTCTTTCTGCTATTTTAGGCTTGTTCTACCTTTTCAGCTACTTTTTAAAATCTTTAGCTAATTTCAGCTGTTTTCAGATAAATTCAAGTTTTTCGTGGTACTTTTTGCTACTTTCAGCCTAATGAAATTATTTCTGCTAATGTCAACTTGTTATGCTCCTTTTAGCTTTTTTCCTGCTAGTTTTACTTTTTTCTGCTATTTCAGATACTTTTTTTTAGCTGTTTTTGTGCTAAAGTGAGCTTTAATTCCACATTTCTTTAAGCTCCTTTCAGCTCCTTCCACTTCCTTTTGGTAGTTTAAGCTTCTTTCTGTCTTTTCAGCTTTTTTTTGTTGTTGCTAAATTCAACTTTTTTGTTAATTTCCTTATACTTGTGCTCATTTCTGCGTATTTAAACTTAATTCAGCAAACATTTCTGCTTTATTTTGCTAACTTAGACTTGTTCTTCCATTTCATCTACATTTCAGCATATTTTTAGTTAATTGCAGCTGTTTTTCAGCAAGTTCTTCAGCAACTGCATTTTTGCAAGAAATGCAATTTCTCTAGTTAGCTAATGCTCCCATTGACTGTTTGCACTTCTAGAGGAATGTCCAGCAGACATTTCATAATATTTCTGCTGTGTAATGTGAAACTGGCAGCGATGTGAATGTTTATAAGTTCACATGAACTGCTGTGAAATGTTGTATATCGGAGATCTTTATAGATGGCAGCGACCCACTGAAGTCTTGGCCATGCTCAGACTAGTCAGACTGAAACTCTTATTTTTCCACACTGAGATTGTTCAGAGCTCTGTCTACAACACGTAAGATATTTATTATTGTTTAGAACCTTTCCACAGAGCCCCGTATTAATTAATTTATTTTCCCTCCTCTACCTCTGCTTAAGGGGGTTTGTTTACGTGAAAGAGTATGTCAATACGACGGCGACGTCCTTGCATAATGCCAGAGATACGACTGACGGGTAAGTCTAATAAATTATTTAAACGGTCAATTAAACACGTGTGTTGTAGCTCTGATGATGGTGACCTTATCGCTCGTTTCTTTTATAGACAAGACGTTTATGCTTCCAGCTCCATCCATCACTCATACAGCAGCCCCTCCAGTTACACCAAGTAAGACCCCACTTCCTATTTATTCTATGATAACATCAAAGTTTGTCCACGTTTAGAAATGGAGCATAAAAATGAGCAGCTTTCTCTCACTGATGTTGATTTCTTTGATTAGTTTCTCTGACACCCTGTTTTTCAGAGTCTATACTTTGACTGGTGCTTGTTGAAATATTTTCATGGCTGCTTTTAACATGCAAGTTTCTGCTTACGTTGCTTCATATTATTAGACTGTTTCTGTTATTGCCCCTCACATCATTCAGTTCTCTCACCCTTCCTTAAAATCTGTTTTAACCCCCCCTATAAGCCAAAGTCCTGCCTCCTCCCGCCTTGTTATTTCAAGTCAGATGTGTGCAAGCAGCAGGGCAGAGACGCCAGCGAGCCAGTTCATTCAGCTCATTCAGCTCATTCAGCTCATTAGGGGGTTAAGCAGGGACATCAAAGGATTATTTACACACTTTACATTCCCTGTCTCTCTTACACACACATAAAACATCTCAGGTTATTTTACCAGACGGTTACCCTTGACTCAGTGGTCAGGATAAATTGTTCCAGTCACTGTTATTTTTTCTCCTGCAGAGCCTCGCTGTCCTCCACCTGCACGTACTGCGGAGAGCAGGTGGGCAACGATGCAAAGATCACCATCGAGCACCTCAATATCAACTGCCACCCCACCTGCTTCAAGGTAAGCTGATAATATTCTTCTAAAGGACTCGTTTGCATTTTAAAACTAGAACATGACATTTATTAAGCTAAATCAGTTTTGTGTTTAGATTTGGTTCAAAATTTAGAAGCTTTAATTCATTGCCTTTTACGCCCTCGTGTTGAACTAAGAATTGTTTGGGTAAAAGCATGGAAATGACATGATGCACATTTCATGCTAAACTGTGAGTTGTATTAAGAGCTTGGAATATGTGTTGAGGATGACTCTCAGCTACTACCACACCAAAATCTTCATTCATTGTCGGTGTTTTTGACGTCATAGCCATTTTTGTGTTGTCAAAGGTTGATTAGCTGTGGTGCATTGTGCAGTATCTACAGCAGGGGTGTCCAAAGTGCAGCCCGGGGGCCCATTTGTGGCCCTTGGAGTGATTTTATGTGGCCCACATTTGCAGTTTAAGAATGCCGTAATTTTGGCTCGTAGGCTTCAGAGATGGATGCCGATGTAGACCTTTTGCAAATTTAATGGTGATAATTTAAGGTTTAACGGCAAAACAAATAAAAAAAAATAAAATAAAAAGCATCTCAAAATGAGCAGTAAGTTTAATACAGTGGTCCCTCACTACTTCACGGTTCGTTTATCGCGTACTCGCTCTATCGCGGTTTTTCAAAATAAAATTTGACATGACACACAATTGGTTGATTGATAGATGAGCCGCACAATCGGCATGGAATTTTTATTTAAAATAAATAATTTAAAATTATTTGGCACCTGCTGCACCTTTTGTGCAGCCCACACTGCAGAAAAAAGTTCCTGCAGATCAGCTGTTCTTGTGCAGAGCGGAGAAGTGGGCGTGGCCAAGAACGCTTGTTTAGAGACATTGTTTAGAATATTGCAAGTGTGGGAAGAGTTTAAAACACATTTACACATATATATATATATATATATATATATATATATATATATATATATATATATATATGTATATATATTCTAAAATAAACTACTACTTAGTATTTGTACTACTATTCCTACTTTGCGGTTTTTCACTTATTGCGGGTCTTCAGGGTACGGATCCCCGTAATAAACGAGGGACTACTGTACAACCCCTTGGCGATAAATCAATAGTCAAATAAATTAAATAAAAAAAAATTGATATTAATGTTTAAGAAGCTTTTAACGTGTTGGATTACAGTTTAGAACGCCTTCTCCACCAGGATTACTCAACTTTCTCCTTTCTCCAAAATACTGTTTACATTTTTACGTAGTGTGTTTGTGCTGAGTTTCAAAAAATAACTATAATATGTACACTTTTTATTATTATTATTTTTTTTTAATATACTGTTTTTTAGTCACATTTTTGTGGCTTGTGACTCCTTTCACCTTAAAAGTTTTGGCCCACATATGAAAATATTTGGACACCTCTGACCTAGACATTTACAAATTAGTTTGAGTTACTACCACAGCAAATTTCAGCAAATTAATACACTTTACTGAGTCAAAGCTTTTTTTTGGTGTTTCCTAACATCAGTTTGCTGTGGCTGCCATCTTGAATTGGGTGACTCCAGCAGTTAATTGGCTGTAATGTCCATCTTATGATTAATTTCTAAAAATTTCCTAAAATCCATCCAGTGCTTTATAAAGTCATCACTAACAGACCTAGTCGACTCCAATAGTTAATGGCAAAGCTATAAAGACAGATCTCACGTGGTCCGTTAGTTTTCAGAGTATCAGATGGAGCCAAGTCTCAGCTGCTACACCAGATTTCAGCTCTACATTTGTAAAATATGATTATTACCAGTTTGACTTATGCTGATGTTCTAAATGCAGGTTGACCTCAAAGGTGAATCAGTTGTAGGTGGACATCCAGTGGTTTTCTGCTGAGTTTCAATTAAATTCCTCCAGTTGTTCATGAGATATTTTGCTGACATGATAGACAAACAGACGCATATAAGCAAAAAAAAAAAAAAGATTGCCCTTATGCCTTTGGCGGCCAGCATTAAAAATATTTAGATTAGGACGACAGCTCTTCCTCATCTTGTGTCTTAATCCTGTTTTTCAGTGCGATATGTGTCGTAAACCCATGGGGGACCTCCTCGACAGCATATTCCTCCACCACGGGAAAGTCCACTGTGACGACTGCTACTCCACCATCTAATAACGATCAGAACTCGTCAGCGGCGTCTTGGAATTTTCTTCGTGCTCATTTGCATATAAAGTGAACTGTTTTCACATAAAGAGTTCCCCCCTTGTTCACGTTAAAGTAACAGTTTGACGCGATCACGTGAACTTTCTTGACGACTTTACGTGGATTCTGACATTAGGTCTCATTTCTAATGTTTTGCGGTGGTAAAATGTGTTTCTGCTGTTCTGATGAAGGATCTGTCTTACGTGTGCTGACTCACATTGTAAAGTGGGGTTCATGCCAAAACTCAGTAGCAAAACTTTGTTACAAAATTATTTTACTCTTCTTGTTACAAAAGTGTTCTTACATTTAAATGCTTTGTTACCAAAATAAAATTATTTAAAAAAAAAATCCTTGTACAATTGTCATTAAAATGAGTGTTCTTAAAGTCAGACAGGGTGTAGGGCGGTCATAAAAAGAGGCGTGAATAACAAACGATCGTATGAAGCTTCTTAACAGAGAAAATATTTTGATGGGCCTTTTTAAATGAGCGACTCTGCCGTTGTTGCCGTTTCCCACAGGTTGTTTGGCATTTTCCCGCTCCTTAAAAACCATTTTTCCTCACTCAGTTGCTTTAAGTGGCTGTTTACATAAATAGGACTGTAGCCAATGGCCATCAGCCACCTGCAGAGGAACTGTAAAAAAAGCTAACGCAGTCCGCTGGCTGCTGTCCTGATGGTCCTCGCACGCAGTTAAGCTGATCTCCTTCAGCGCACAAAATGAGTCTTTGGCTCGGCTCCAGTCCAGAGAAAAGCTGCACAGAACCACACGGTCGGCGTTTAATGCCGACATCTCCAAGCAGAGGAGAGAGAGAACTCTGTTTTGGCAATGAAGTGAGCAGAAAATATTAGCATCTGTCATAATAAAACCTTTTCTAATATTAAACCTTCGAGAAAGACAGAGGGCTCTTGTAATCAGAAAGGATTATAAATAAACTACTCACAAAGGAAGTTCTGGCTCAGGTGCAAAAAACAAAAAACAAAGAGCAATGTCAATTCCTCATTTAAACAGAATATTATGGGACGTAATTCTGGATTAGCTCCATCCGCTGCTTGTTTCATGGCCTGTGTCAGTGTTTTCCTCTGGCTCTGCTCACAGCAATGTTTTGGATGTGCCTCCACAGCAGAGAGGAGTCTGACTCGTTGTGTCTTATCAGTGACTCCAGCCCCTCAGCTTGGTCCAGGCTCTGCCAGTAATCCTGAGGCCATATTTGCAGCCATCTGTGGGCAGACGTGCAAACAGATTAGGCTCACCGCAAATTATCTTTTAATTAAACAATAAAACGCGGCGATTTATTTCCCCGGAGACATTCGTAGTCGCCAAAAGGTGAGGAGGGAGACTGTTACACCTGGAGTAGTGAACGACTGAACTCACCCGTCATCGGTGGGCAGGTCTCGGGCGTCTCCGTACCCCGGGCTGGGCAGTGGGCAGCCCATGTGAGAGTTGCTGGCCATTTTAGGCTGAGGAGGTTGTTTCGTGTTGGGAGATTTTCTGTACGCTCTTTCTGAGGCCAGTCGTGCATTTTCCTGGTCACAAATGTAACATTCAAATCCATTTAAGTAGTTCGGTTTACTCATGTCATTAACTCCCCATTCGCGGGTCTCCAGCGCCTCGAGCAGATGAGTGTTCATGATGCTCCTGGGGTTTTTGAACTTTAAATATTTTGCATATTCATCATCGTTCTCATCCAGACGCCTGAGAAAGTCGGCGAGGGATTTGGGCGAGGGGAATTTATCTGCAGTTATCACAGAGTGGTCGTTGGGCATCCAGTCACCCACCACAGAGGAGCCTCGGTAGACGGGCACGCAGCCCAGGTGGAGGGGCCGCCAAAGCTTCTCTGTCATGTAGTCGGGACAGAGGCCGTTCTCGAACGCCAGGTGGAACTTGTAGCGAGCGACAAAATTCATGAAGCCAGGTTCCTCGCCAGTAGCCGTGGCCGTGTCCTCCAGATGTTCTGGTAGAGGCTTGTTGTTCAAGCATTTCCCATAAGAGTCCACCTACGGAGAAACGATGGATGCGGGAGAAGATGAAGACACGTTTACGACACGTTTGGAATCAGATTCATGATAAAATGAAAGACATGCTCAAATCATTTCTGCTAGTAACACTACATATATATGGTTTTTCCAAACTAACTGCAGAACTGACGCAGAACTAGCTCTTTAATTTGTGTTAGCTCACAGGCAAATGCATTTCCCTTCAAAGTGCATCAGTTAGAACATTTTCAAACACAGCCATCTTGCTTTACAAGCTGTGAACGATGGCAATTCAAACAGCAGCTGCAACCAGCGCAAATTTTGACTTTACCTGCCGCTAAAGAGGTCACCTCAGCTGATATACTTCATTTGACAGCCTGAATAGGCCTGCAAATGTCTTGCAAATATTATTGTGCAACCGTATTATTTTACCAGATGGCTTTTCACAAAAAGCCCAGTAAGCGCTGTAAATATATATATATATATATATATATATATATATATATATATATATAACTGCAAAGTACTACAGCATCTACAAGCAAACAGTCCAATAATAGTGACTTAAAGTGAGTGGAAATGGGAAAGGTGCATTATAAAGTATTCAACTTCAAATAGATTATTATTGGTAGTTTTGAACAATAATAGAAAAGAGGCTAAACAAAACAGATGAAATATAAATCTGATTTTTTTCTCTAAATGACTGAAAAAACACTGAGAACTAAATCCATAATATTAAGGTTCTTCTGTACGGAAGAGGATTAGGGCTACGATGGTAAAAATAATTTGATATTTTTTAAAATTTTACTATTTTATTTAATTCTGAGTTTTTTATTTATTTTTTATACCATGGCCCTAATGATCTTCCATACTTCTGACAGTATATTGTTTCACTCGTCGTTTTCTGCAACATAGTTTCATGTCTTTATAACTAAAAAACATACTCTACATTTAATTCCCAGCAGAATCAGAGCAACATCTAAACCGTTCTACCTTAATATATTTCATGAGTTCCTGGACGTATCTGTCTCTGTCTGACGGCACATCACAGTGGGACTGCATGTAGAGCACAGGAGCCAAACCCTCCCTCCTGAGGCGGTTCTTCTCCTCCAGGGCCACAGCCACAGGCTGCAGCAGGTACTCCAGGGAGGGCAGCCACTGAAGGGTCAGGGGGTAGTCCGACTCCCTGCGAAACGTGGCTGTATAGTTGAAGAGCCTGATTCCCGGTCCATGAGAGAGGATGTAGTTATTCATGGGTGACTCCTCGTGGAAGAGTGACCAGGTCTGGTGATGGAGACGAGGAAGTGGTGCCTCATATGCCCTGAAGTCTGTCCCATAAAAGATGATGGATGCTGTCCTCTTGTACAGCTGGACCTTTTCAAGATCAAAGTCAGGATTAGTAAATTAGCTTGAGTTAATTATTATGCATGTATGCATAAACAGGCTTTATAAAGGGATGTTTAGGAAGGTGAAGCATCTCTGGTACCTTACGGTTACTTGTGACCAGGCACGAGGACGTGGCACAGTCGATGCGTTCAGTGTCTCCAGGAAAATGTGGGAAAAGTCCGGTGCTCCACCAGAGGAGAATGGGCAGCTCCTTGTTGCTGCGGCGGTCGCTGTTACCGGGTCCTCGGTACGAAGCTACGGAAGCAAACTCCATGTCTGACAGAGCACTCTGGGGCTGGAAGGCTCCTCGGCCCACGGCATCCAGGGAGGAGGCGTTCAGGTGCAGCTGTTCGTCCGGGAAAGAGGCGAAAGAGACCCAGACCCAGCACAAAACCGCAAACAGTCCCAGACATAGACAGGGCAGCAGCCTCCTCCTACCTGCCATCTGCTCAAATACAAAGACAAAGAGATTCTTAGTATTTTCTGTGATTCTTGATGCAATATAAACATTTTCATCCGAGTAACTAAACATTAGCTCCGCTAACTTTAACCAAAGGTTTCTGTACGACACCGTTGTCTACAGTCATATTTACGATAAACACACGAAACTGCCTTTTAAAACTCTAAAATATAAGATATCTTCTGCTACTATCTGTAAAACTTGCCTTTAGTGAGCGGCGGTAACGGGATGCTGTCTATCATCAGTATCAACAGACTCTTCTTCTGTTTTCATTTCTGCGTTTCGAGGGAGTCGTCTCAGTGTGGCGCCACCTACAGGCCGGAAACAAAATCACCACCGCAGCACGAAAGCAGCAGTTTTGATTACACTACAAAAATCAAACATTCAATTGTGGAAAAGTAACCGTATCAACAAGTAAAAACGTATTTCTATTTTGTAACAACAAAACAAGTACATAAAAAGTTTGACTGAGTAAATACAAAACCAGTAAACATTTGAGATCCAGGGTTATCAAACGCCATGCACTACAAAAATCCATGGACTTCAGAGCTAGAAATGCATTCCTTGAATCATGAGTGGCCAAATGTTCTCCACAATTTCCCCCCCATGTCTTTCTCATACTGCTTGAGTTTCAGTTGGAAAAAAAGAAGAAGCAGTTCTATGGACTTGAACAAGTAAAAAATTTTATTTTTATTGTTGCCAAACTGGAAATAATCAAAAATTGTGAAGACTTACACACTCGAATACACAAAAAGTACTTTATTCATTTTTTAAAGTCAGTAAATCTTGACAAAACATCGAAGTTGAAGAAAAAGAAAAGCAACTTCATAGCAGAAAGTTTGATTAGTAAAGAAACACAAGTCTCACATGAGCAAATATGTCAAAATAAGAATAAAAACTATAGTCGCTGGAGGTTCAACATTTCAAATGAGCTTTTGCATCGCAACTTTAACCCCCTTCCCTTCAAATGTGTTGAGCTGAGATGGTAGATGGTAGAAGTTACAAATGTGGTTGAGATGTCAAATTTATCTGTGGATTTGTCACAAAGACCCAGAGAAAACTACTTGGAGCCCGAACGCCTATTGTTATGATAAAACGTGTATCTGTGAAGAAAATGTCAGCTGATGAAGTGCTGTGTCCTGCTAGAAAACTTTTATAATTCAGATGTTGTAGTACAGTGCTGATACATTAAACACTTTTTTTTTACTTCATATTTTTAAAAAGGACACAAGAATTGACAGCTGTATGGAATATTAATAATAAAAATTAATAATGGTATTACATACCTCGGATTTTAAAATAAATTCTCCAGCTGTCTATTACTGTGTCCTTTTAAAACATACGAAGTAAAAAACAGGTTTAAGGTTTAAAACAAGTTTAATTAACAGCTGTACATCTGAATTATACAATATATTTCAAAATTTCAAAGGGAAGTAACACTTTCTTTCAAACGTTTAAAGAAATTTTAAATAATTTTAGTAAAATCATTATTAAAACTCTTTAAAGAGTGGCTTCTGTACTGATACTGTAGATATTTCAGGTGTGATCAAACAGAATTGTTTTTATTACGCACAACTAAAAATAACATTATTTAATTAAACATTTTGATTAGACTAATCCTAACAATATTATTCACAAAACACCTTTTGCATCTATTGTTTTTATATTATTTATTTGTTGTTTTTTTTATCTGAAGATTTCAAATTTTAACAGGACCTGACGAGACATTAGAAAGGAGAACTAGGTATGTTTGCATGTTGCCTTAATGTTGGAAAATTAAAATGAAAGTTTTCAGTGTTTTTAAAAAGGTCAAGTCTAATGAAATCTAATTAAAACAACAACAAACTTGTTTATATAGCACATTTAAAAACAGCTGCCATTGATCAAAGTGCTTCATACAAAATAGAACACAAAAAACAAACAAAAAAAAAAAAACGCACAACAAATGTGCCATAAAATAGTGCCATAAAATAAACAAAAATAAAACAATTTAAAAAGATAATACATTAAAATGAGACTATTAACACTATGCGTCAATGCAACAACCCTCTATTTTTTGCTAAAGTGCTTTTTCTCTGGATCTGAACAGCCAGTTGACCATTTTACAGTTTCACATGTGTAAACTCAGGCACCACGGCCCCAAGCAGGTTCCTAACTATTTTCGGTCACATGTCACTGGTTTATGACCGTGATGGCTTGCAGCTGACCAAGAGACATAAACAGGGGGAAAAATTGCATGTCAAACAACGCACAACCATTTAAAGTATGTTGTGTGTGCGTTAATTACCCATAAAATTTGATGTGTATTGAATGCACAATGTGTAAACAACACTCACTTCAAGTGTTGTTTACATGTTGGTTTTGCGTCAGTCACTGGAAAAGTCAGTTTTGTGGCCTCGCTAGCTTTCGGTACGCAACTGACCAAAACACATAAACAAGAAATGAAGGCTACATATGGGACAGATGTGGTTGGCAGGCTGCAGACTGACAAAGTCTTCCGGATGGGAGACAGAATGTTTCTCAGTTAAATAAACTGGTCCAGATGATATGATTTAACCTTTTTTTTTTGTTGTTACCTGGATGTTGAGTAGCTTACAAACCTTTTTCTGAACCATTTTGACCTTGGTTGTCCTCAGGCTGTTTCTGTGAGTAGCAAGTTGTCCATCTGGCGTAAAACATTTGTCTGTTGGACATGAAACATGATGATTGATTGTTTTGGACGGATGTGCCCTGTTTGCATGTGTTAAAAGCTTGCTTCTGAGATTCCACCAGGAGGTTGGCCTGAAACAATGCAATTGCGTGTTTGAATTAATGAAGTATAACAACCCTTTTCTTTCTTCCTCTTCTTTTTGTGATATTTATTTGCAGTTGGGAAACTTCTTTCTTCCTCCAAGTTTCTTTTATGATTTGTTCTTTGTTCGACTCCCTCTAGTGGTCTGGAGCACTTCCGTTTCATGGAGCGAGTTTGCTGGTGTTTTCACAGTTTGCAGTGTTTTTCTGCTGCACGTGTTTTTTGTTGTTGTTTTTTTGTTGTTTGCAGTTACAGTATTTTTTTATGCGTTTGCATTTGTTTTTTGTGTTTGCATTTTTTTGTGTGTTTGCATGTTTTTTGTGTTTGCATTTGATTGTGTTTGCATCTTTTTGTGTTTGCATGTTTTTTGTGTTTGCATTTGATTGTGTTTGCATGTTTTTTGTGTTTGCATTTGATTGTTTGTGTTTGCATGTTTTTGTGTTTGCATGCGTTTTTTTGTGTTTGATTGTTTGTGTTTGCGTGTTTTTGAGTTTGCATCACACGTTTTTTCTGCGCGTTTCGCCATTTGCTGCACGTTTGTTGCATGTTTGCACCTGTCTGCCACCATAACCTATGGGACAGATCTGGTTGGCGGGCCACAGACTGACATAGTCTTCTGGATGGGAGACCAAATGTTTCTCACTTAAAGAAACTGGTCCAGATGGCAGAGTTAACCTTCTTTGCTGTTATTTGGTATGGTATAAAGTTTATTTATTTAAAAAAAGTACAAAACAATTCCATAACAATATAAAAAAAGATACAAAATATTTAAAATGAAAGGCAGCAGAAAGAAGAAAAAATCTTATTATATCTGCCCCTTTTTTCAAACAATTATTTCAATCATAATAATTTTCAAGTAACAGAACAAAATGAACAACTCTTTCTATTTTTTCTAATCTAATTTACCTGGATGATTGAGCTTAAACAGGCAAAATTTGTAAGAAAAATGTGATAATAGTGCGTAAATATCACATTTGTCGTTTTTGCATTGTTTAAGTGAGAAAATATGATGCATAAATACCATCAATGTCATTGGCACTTATGGCTTTCCGTACACCACAGCTTTGCGTTTATGTTGCCTGTGGAAACGTTAACCTGACGGGCTTTAGGACCGCGGGGAGGTCCTGGACGGTGTACGTCACAACACTCAATCTCAGTCAGATGCAGCGGAACAGGGCAGACCTCGCTATAATAATTATTAAAAATAAGGTGGGTGATAATAAGGCATATTTATAACTGATGTATCCAGCTATTTAAAGTCACACCAGCGCGACATCCTCCCCGGTTTAAAATAGCTTCTTTAAATCGGTTTGAAGTGGCTCGTGCTGCGCGAGGCCAACGGTTAGCCTGACCAAGAGAGGAATGTCAACAAGAGGACCCGCTACAAAGACCGTCTGTGTGGAGGGGGACAGCTCCTTCTAAAGACGCGTCTCCATTTCTCCCCCCGTTAATTACATCTCTATTACACTTTCTGAGCGGGGTTCCAGAAACCTTCGAGCACACACAGTTCATTGCTGGTGCATGTTTGTGGGTGCAGCTGTCAGTCAGTCAGCTGTTCTCGCTTCTGTTGTGGTAAAGGATGTCTGCTGGTGTTTAAGCTGCTGGTTTAACTCATCTCTCCAAGGAGAGGTGAAATCACCTGCTCACTTAGATCTATGTGTATGTTGGCATACATTTAGTAAAATATTAGTCTGCACTCAGCCTGAGACCTTCAGGGACAGCTCGGTCTTTCACCTCCTGTCCCGTTAGTGAAACCAGTCAAACCATTACATATTCAGGATGTCACTGGGCTTTCACTACTTGGAAAGTTTCATTTCAGTTTAATACAGGTGCTGGTTATGTTTCTTTTACTCTAAATATGTACATAAAACTACTAAACATGCCCACAGAGGTTGAGGGTTCTAATGTTTTCTGTAAAGTCATCTTATTGTTCAAGACTCATTTGAACTGTCCCACCTTCATAAGCACTAAAACATCTTTATTACTGTTTTAAAAAGTCATCCTGTATTTTATAACAGTGCTTTAAAATGAAACACGATCGTTGTTTAGTTAAAACGTGTTGTTCGATTGAGAACATTGTGGTAGGATTTTTTTGTTGTCAGTGTACATAAATACAGCTTTTTTGGTACATGTTGGATTATTCTTTCATCCAGAGTTTCTCTCCTGGCTTCATGAATCCTGGTTTGCTCTTGAATCCTGCACACCCAAGCTTCCACAGACTTCAGTAATGTTTCATAGTTTTATAACTTGTAATCTTGCCTACGTTAAACACTGTGGAAACAGAAATGAATGAAGTTTTTGCCCAACAACTGTTTGAGGCCTTTTAGGTTTGATGTAAGGGAGTGACAGACAAGTGTGTGGTTACCATGGTGACCATAAGGAGCCCATGGCTGCAGCTTCATTATTTGTTTTGATCTTTTGGTTCTGTTTGGTGTAGATATGGCAGCCGACTTGGGACCAAAAAGTCACAGTTCAACTCCCCGCCATACCCACATGTCGTGGTGTCCTTGAGCAAGACGCCTAACCCCTACTAGCTTCCCGGGCGCTTACATAGCTGCTCCACCTGGGTGTATCTCACATGTGATGGGTTAAATGCAGAGAACTAATTTCTCCATTGTATGGGAACATACAATGATGACGACACATAACACTTTATACTTTATACTTCCTAATCATGTTATATATGAAAATGTAGGCTTTTCTTTAAGTTCAGATCAATACAAAACTGATGTTGGAATTTTGGACATTATCTTTCGATTTGTCTTCAGAAATCTTCTAAGTAGTATATTTTTCTTCTTTTTCTCTTTCCTGGTTGGGTCGACACAGATCTTCCGCCTGGTGCAGAGGCCTGGTGCCCACCTGAACTGGGTGGGGGGAGGGAATCGCCATGAGTGGGAATAACACGCTTCTGAAAGTGATTCTCCTGGGAGACGGTGGAGTGGGCAAGTCCTCCTTGATGAACCGCTACGTCACGGACCGCTTCGACTCGCAGTCGTTTCACACCATCGGCGTGGAGTTCCTGAACCGGGACATAGAAGTGGACGGGCGCCGAGTCACCCTTCAGATCTGGGACACGGCGGGTCAGGAGCGCTTCAAGTCGCTACGCACCCCCTTCTACCGAGGCGCGGACTGCTGCCTGCTCACGTTCGCCGTGAACGACGTGCAGAGCTTCCAAAACCTCGGCTGCTGGAAGAAGGAGTTCCTGTACTACTCGGATGTGAAGAACCAGGAGCGGTTCCCTTTTGTGGTGCTGGGCAACAAAGTGGACGTGGAGCAGAGGGAGGTGGGGGAGGACGAGGCGCGGGCCTGGTGCGAAGAGAACGGCTGCTGTCCTTACTTTGAAACCAGCGCTAAAGATGACACGAATGTCACGGCTGCGTTTGAGGCGGCTGTCAGGGAGGTTCTGGCTGCCGAGGACCAGATCGGTCACACGCTATTGACCAGTACCATTGATCTCCATGGCAACCGGAAAGCACCTCGTTCGTCCTGCTGCTGAATGTGCAGTTTTAAATACCTCTTGTCCTAAAGTTTCTGACTAAAACTCACCAGTGTTGGTCCTGATAGCAGGTGTACTGCAGGTTTAAGGTACTTCGTATCAAAAATAAATACAATGGGTGGTCTACAGCTGCTCGAAGGAGGGTGGTGGTATCCAGGTTTTTTAGCTGATGGGTCAATTCTTGAATGATTGCTCTTATGATGGTATGACGCACTCATTGTGTGCGCTCTTTCAATGGCATTGCACACAAGGTTTTAACTCGGCTTCTCCTGTCTCAGCTAACACAGAGGCTGTATCAGGTGTTGCAGTTAAACAGTTCCCTCACGTCATGAATTAATAATATGGAACGAAGACCAGTCCTCTCTAGCAGAACACTCATCAACCTCACATAGTAATTTACTGCTTCTGGAACAGCTCTACTTTCTGACCACGAGTTGACCTGCATTTCCTGAAGTTTGAGAAGGATCACTTCCACTCTTTGGTTTTAATCAACTGTTGGGACACTGAAAGTACTTCTTGGAATAAAAGTTCGTGAATGACAGTGCCCCCACGCTGGGGAGATCCATTCAGCAGTGCCATTGAATTTGAGGTACATTGAATTTTGAAGATCGTGATCTTGAAAAAAGAATAGCTCGTTTAAAAACAAAACAAAAGGGAACTAATGCGACTTTGAGCTTTGAGTACAACCTAATGTAGTACTCCAAATCATTCATATCTTTTTATCCGTGTATACTTTTCTTTTGCAGCAGCATTGTGTTGTGGCTGGTTGAATGACTTATATTTTTTTGTATTTTTTTAATGGGATTATCTAACAAGAAAAGTATCCGTTCTCATACAAAGTTCAAAGTAGTGTTGCCTCTGGTACTGTTGATAGTTTTCTTTGTGAAACATTTCTTTCATCCTACAAATGTTTCACCTTTTTTTCTAGTTTTGTTCAGTAGTTGAGCTCAGTGTTTTGATCCGACATAGTTTAAATCACCCCTCCTCGCCCCCCGCCCCTCACGATGAACAGAAGAGCTTTTAATTCTAAATGACGTCCTTGTAATGCTGCGTCTGCCTTGTTGATTGCATAGTTGGCCTTAACATTCCAGTCTTTTAGCTTTGCCTTGCCCAAGGGTCTCTTGTGCACTACACTACTGATAAATGGCACGCGCCTCGTGCTGTCACTGCGGCTATTAAAGGTCTTAGCTAAATGTGAAATAGCTTGAACACCATCATTATTTTGCGTATAGATTTTACATCACATCAACTCGTGGATACCATTGATAGTATTTTGTGAAGCATGCCGAGTATTCGAACACGTTTACCTCTGCTTTTCACCGGAGTTGTATTTTTTTGTCACTGTATTTACACACCCGTTGACTGGCCATAGGTACTTTTGACTTCCTGGGTTTTACTGCTGGTGGCCGCATGCAGTGTTTATGAAAAGTCTTCACCATCTTGGATGTTTTATGCTTTTATTGCCGTCATAAATCACTCGTCAGTAAAATTTGGCCTTCTTTACAACCCCACCCCCAGAAATCCCTTCAGTGTCAACGTGAAATCAAATTTCTACAGATCATTGATAACTAAAATATGTGATGTGAAATAAGTGACTGCATACTGCACAAGTCATCTGTAACGGTGATGACCGCAGAGAAACCACAAAACATCCAAGGGAGTGAATACTTCTTGTAAGCACCGCAGCCTTAGTTTTTCCGCGTAGCTGTACGTAATGTTACACTTGAAGCTAAAAATCTTTGTAATCAGTGTTTGAATTTACCATCATGGCAATATTTATTTATCTGTTACAGGTTTTCCATCAACCGGGTTTATGTTACGAGTCTGTTAATGTTTTCATTTGATGAACACAAGGCTGACGGTCATTACGGCCCCTTGACCTCATCCATTTTTTATGATGGTGACGTTTTTGTTCATCACCCTGAAATGACAGCGTTTGCCTTGATAATTATTTTTGAAAAGATAAAAATCACCAACTATGAATGTTACAAGATCTTGATGAAAGTGAACCAAACCCAGTCGGGTACCAGTGATGGGACTGGTGGCTGTTTTCTGGCATTTGATTCAACTCACCAAAGAGTTGGAGCTCAGAGCTGTTCGACCCGTCACTATCCGGTACTGTTACTTTATTACAAACTAGATTGCAACAAGGCACACCTTTGACAGGAACTTCACTGTGATATCAGGGCATTAAAACAATAGCTGAAAGCAGAAATGAGGGCTATTTTATCAGTCTGGATTTATCAAATCACTTGTTTTTTTTCCCTTTCTTTTCTTACTCTTCCGTTTGTTTTATCCAATATCTTCACTTTTGTTAAACTTACCAGGGATTCCTGTCATTATTATTTTTGGTACGTTGCTCCATGTTTTGCCGTATTTACGAATGTAAAACTAAGTTCTGCAGGCTGTCCATAATAATGGCTTACATAAATTGCAAAAAAAAAAAAAAGTAAAAATAGGACTGGTAGTGCTAAACCCACGAGTACTGAAGCTGTGTGAATCAGACTGTCCATGTTGATAATGCACTGATCTGATTATGTTCAACTTTCCTTACTCTTCTTGTTGCACTACTGATGGTGAGACTACAAAGAGCACTTTGCTTCAAATAAAATGTGCAAATCCTACCAAATGGAGACCGTCTTGACTTTGATCTTTTGTGCTGATTAAAATATGTTTAGGATTTTAGGTTGAAAAACACAATTTTTACCATTTAAAACTAAATTTAAGTCTCTGGTTAACTATATATATATATATATATATATATATACACACATACACACAACTTATCTTATTTTTGGTCTTGTCTTTAAAAATAAAGGCCAAACATTCTTTGAAGGAATGGCGCCTGAAGTTTTTAAAATAAGCTCTTGAGACAAAAATACAATTATGCACAGGCTCATATGAGACATCCTCATTGTGACCAACTTTCAGCTATATTTGTGTTGGCTAATGATTTCACTGCAGCAGCCATCTTAAATCAGGATGGCTCGAAAAGTTAAATCAGTTGTAAAAGGTACATCCAATGACTGGTCCAGTTGGTACAGAGTCCTGATAAACCGTTACCCTTCATTCAAAAGGAGGTCAAACATGCACCATTATTTTTATTTTCTCTTAATAATAATAATTAAAAAAAGAAAGACAAAGCATGCACTGCATACTGTGAAATCAGATATGGACATTTAAAAAAAACAAAAAAAAGACCCCCAACCCCTCGCCAAAATTATGTATATTTTTAAGTCCAAGTCAAATCCCCTAAAACACTTAAGATATAAGCTCAAAATATTCAGCCCAGATTCAAGAAAAGCAAATTCAACAGAATTTGTGCTAATTTACAACTTAAGCTGCAATCTACTCTTAATATTTTCATGAAAAGAAGATATGAAGGGATTCAATTCAACTCTGCCGAGTGCCACAGTTGAACTGGAACGCTTCACGAAAGCATACGTTTGCTGAAAAACTAAATAAGGAAAGCCCCTGCAGTGATAGCTGTGCACTGTCAGGAGATGCTCAATGTGTTTGTAGCATACGGAGAGCACAGTGTCCCTCCTCTGTCCCTCTGCGTCCTCCTGTACAGGTCAAAGCTTCTCCTCTCCTCTTTCACCTTGTGCCTCAGCATCTTCAGGTACACCTGGTACACAGCCAAGTGAAGGCAACAGTGCACCTGTGGACAGGGAGAGAGCGTGTGGCAGGGAGCCAGGGAATGAGAAACAGTAACTGGGCTTTTATACACAGTTGAAACATGCTTACTTTCATAAGACATTGAACGGCAAACAATTCAAAGCATTCATTTTATTCACATATACTATAATTCTAACATACAGCAACAAACATCTACCAGCCACTTTATAATTCCACCCACTGAAATAGAAATGCACTAGAATAACCAGTCTCTAGGTGAGATTAGTGGCGGCCATATTGCTAGGTGCTATAACCATCACTAATGTGTACATCTCAAAGTCACACAGTTAGCAGCTTGTGCATGCTGCAGTTGCCTTATTTCTCTTAAAACATACATTAAAAACATATTCTGACACCACCGCCCCACCATGTCCAACAGTTCCCTTGAAGCCCGGTCAAGCATTAGAAGCGTCCACCCAGCAGGATACCTCTAATATGATTAAAATTTCTAAGTGCTGTAATCATTCTAGTCAGACAATACATAACTAATCTTTAAGCAATTAAGTACTTCTCATGTCTACCTCTAACCCGTTACCAGTGTCAGAAGTTAATTGCACTTAAAACTAATAGCTTAAACTTTTCTAGTCTTTTTCCCCTTCTTCCTTCATAATTATTTCTGGATATAATAATAATAATAAATAATAATAATATTTAAAAAGCACCTTTCAGGACACCCAAGGACACTTTCCATTATCTCACTTAATCTCACTTTCCTATTATTTAATCCTTATGGCACCTACCAAGATGGCGGAGCAACTCTTTCAGTTTTGAGACATGGATGAGTTCTTGTCTAACTTGGCGTGTAAATTTAACTTATAATTAGGTAAAAAAAAAAATTAATCTATGGATACAAAATATGTTGTTGCTAGAATTTATGGTACATTTTCAATTAGCTGGCATATGCCCATCTTGAGTGCTCTGCTTTACAATAAATAAAAGCAGTCAAGTAGAGAGCTGCAGCCTCTGGCATAGTAATAATCAGCCCAAAAGAAAAAAGGAACATGCTATGATTTTTGGAATCCAAACTTTAAAGAATATAACAATCATTGGCAAAATATGGAGCTTCTTTGCCGAGTTAATCCCCCCCCTATAGTTATACAATTAGAAAGATTTAATAATTGCCTCAAATGGCACCTACCAAGATGGCGGCACAAATCCTCATCTCCTTAGCACCGACAGCACTGCAGTCGACCATTCCAGTGTATTCATATTTTTGTGAATTAAACATTCAACTAAACAGGGATTCATCACTCATGTGTTATTATTACAGCCTTTCAAAAGCAAAAGGTATTAGTAAAATTACCTATACGCAAACGTTGTTATACAATAACTACAACAAAATTCCTAAAGAATTTAAAGTCAAACCATTTTTTTTAATCCATAAAAGTACCTCAGTCATACGTTGTCTGACATCATAAAGTTACTTCATAAATTAGCACTGGATTCCATCTTACACTTTTCAGACCTCACTAGATCTAAATATGTTCCCTTCTGTCAGTAACAAACTGCTGAAAATCTAAAATTCATTCAGTTTCTGCGCTCACTCAGCCGCTTTTATTATTTGAGAGGAGGCCGGGGGCTCACACGGCAGCGTATAAATGGGATGTGGCCTCGGAGGAGCTGTGTTGAAGCATCTCAGAGCTCTGACGCTCCCTTTGTTCTGCTTTGACTTGTAATTTAACCCTTTGGCAGAGGCTCATGGCGCAGGTGGCCCAGGGAACTGGCTCCTCATTGGCTAACTTTTCAAAACAAGTACGACTGCATTGTTGGCGTTTTTCTCTCCAAAGCGTGAGAAAAGTCCCGAGGTCAGCGTGGGCCTGCATATGTATGCTTGTCTGCCTCCGTGGCAACCAGATGTGATGAGTGATACCCATAGAAACCTCCAAGTCTCTTCTCTGCACAGCAGCTGTTTTCTGATTGCACATGTATATTACTTATTTGGGTTATTAATTTAAGCAGGAGGCGAAAATAAAAATCAGTAAGCAGCAACCACAGAAGTTCAAACAGTTGGGAGATTTGACAAGAAATATAATGCTCATCTGTTGGTACAGCCATTACACCCAATAAAACAGAGGAAATTACAAATTTACAAAAAGTAAAAATATAAAACTTTTTTTTTTTTTAATATATAAAAGTTCATGACCACAGGTGATTTTGTGCAGTTGAAATGAAAACAGGACAGATGTGATGCCATCCCTTCAGATCCCCTCGTTGATGGTGAAGTGGTGACAGAGAAGACAGGAAGCCGGGTGCCTAACACCTCGCACCTATGCCCTTTCTCCCAAGATACCGCAGAACCGCAAAGTTATAGGTGGTGGACACAGTATAGGTCAGCTACGAAAAGACAAAAAAGAAGAAACAGGAGGAATCAGGGAAAGGAAATGAGGAAATTAAAGACCAACAGCATCCCGTCCCTCGACAAACGGCAAAAGGAAATTGTGCTGATGGCTTTAATGCGATGCCATCCTTCTGTAATGAAGCATGCAAGTATAATGGGTGCACCATTTGCCTGCGTGGCTGGAGCACCAGCAGACGTTACAGCATTTTCATGATGCTTGTGTCAGCTGACAAAGAGGAACAGAGAGCAACAGTACAAGAGTCTTCAGTCATGGAGGCCTGAGATGCCTCGCTACCCACACTTTGAGCGTCACTTAGTCACATGAGCTACAACGTTTCTTTATTGTTCCCAAAACTGGCCCTGGCCTTTGTACGAGTACTCACCAGAGCCAAGAGCGTGATGCCCGCACCGGCGAAGGCAGCGATGTACAGATCAAAGGTTATCCGATACTGAAAGGAGAGGTTTTTTTTTTTACTGGTGTTGCTGTAATTTCATTGAAATGTGACAGCAGAGCTGAAGATCTTACCTCTCTGGTTTTGCAAACATTGGACAAGGTCATACCACAAGCTTTTCCTGGAACAGCATTCCATGGCAAGAGTCCTGAGGGAGAAAAACAAAAAAAAAAACTACTTCTTTGATTCAGTTCAAACCTAATGATACCGATCGTTCTTAATGTCCATTAAACACATATGAAGTTAGACAAGGATGCATTTTAAATTTCAGGTTTCATTTGCTTTGTAGTATGAACATATGCTGATATATATTCATAAATTAAACGGATTCTTTCATTTTTCTGGACTGTATAATGACGTGCATCTGAATTTAATAAAATGTGGACGGAAACGTTAATTCTCTTTGACTCGCCAACGACAGTGGGTCATTTATTAACAGAATCAAGTTTAACACATCACACATTTACATTAATTGGCAAAAATTGAAAATAACGACAGCTTATTAATCAGTTTTACAGGAAGTAAACAATACGGCGATTGTTTTCTCACTTCCAGCAGTACAACAGACCTTAACCACACGGCGGTGGTTGAAAAACTTTGCTTCAGACATTTCTAAAAATATCTGGATTAATTTCTTAGCAGATAGAAGAGTTTAAAGATTGAAGTTTAGAGGGAGGGAGATGGTGTGTGTGTGAGTGAAAAGTGTTGGACAGAACGACACCCTCCATTCGACCCAGCTTTCCTCGGTACGCTCGGTAGTCAACTCGACTCATTACCTCTCTGACGATGAATCAGTGAAAGCGGAGCTCCGGTTACGCTACCGGTCCAGCGTCTCCGTAGGATGGCAGAGAACTGTCCGGAGTGGTGGCGGGACTTCATCAACAACAGTTCAGCTCACGGTGGACTCACATGAGTGGAGTCCTTCAGAAGTTCCACTCAGAGGTGGAAGATGTCATAATCCCAAAAGACTCGGAAGAGCTTTGAATCATGGCTGGACTTCTGTTCTCCCAAACGACTGGAGCTGCAAAAACTCTCCACCCGACTCCAACTAAACTGAACTAGGAAGTACCGACATTTTAAAGAGCTCTATTTCCGGTTCATTTGGGAGTTTCTGATTGGTCGATGGACCAAAACAGAGGTGTGTTTTGTGATGTAAGGTGTTATGAAAAGTCAAGGAAAAAGATTAAGATTGTTTAAGAACAGACAAAAGATATTATGAAGAACTTCAGACTTCGTGGAGTCAATTCTCTAGTATCTTGCTGTAAAAGTTAAACATGACATTTCTTTTTCAGTAAACTTGCAGTTGACCGAAACTTGAACTTTGACCAACTTACACACTTGCTCATTGAAGACAGAAAATCAGACAATGCATCATTAACATGATTTCTTCTTTGAATGAGGATTAAAAATCGTTATTACTGTTTCACAGTTGATTTAAAAATGAGTAGTTCACTTCAACATTTAAACATTGTTTGAACTAACACAATTTGATTATCGAACATTTGTAAAATAGTAATGATAATTGAAAGTAGTGTTCTTCCACTTGATTTCACTTTGAAAAAAAGTCTCAGGATGGGTCAACCTGTATTTCTGGATTCAAATCAATGGAATGACAGTTTCTGTCCCATATGGTCCTTAAGGTCAGGACTTGACCTTCAGGCCTAGTTCACTACAGCTTTCATCTTTGAACACGTCAGAGCAACATGAAATATAAAGTTTGATCTTGACAAACTCATCTGACTTGGTGTTTGTTTACAGTTTACATCCCGAAGCCAGTATGCAAGTGACATATTCCTCAGTGCAGCATTGTTCATTCAACCTTTATTTATACAGGTTAACTGTGTTCCATTTAGTTGTTTTTAAGCTTCTTTTTATGGTTTTATGAAAATAGATGTGCTGGTTTTTGGTTCTGTTGGAACATTGTTTCAACAGCTATTAAACGATTAGCTATAAGATTTAGCATACATGGATAACGGTCTACAAATCAAAACATTTGTTTTTAGTGCAATTATGGAATAAATTCCTATGAAATGCTTCACACATTCCTGGTTTCCACTCATTACCGTAATTTCCAGATTATAAGCCGCTACACCCCCCCCCACACACACACACACACTCTGGTTTCCTCCCACAGACCAAAAACATGCATGTTAGGCTGATTGGTAACTCTAAATTGTCCCTAGGTGTGAGTGAGAGAGTGAATGGTTGTCTAGTTTGTCTCTATGTGGCCCTGTGATGGACTTGCGACCCGTCCAGGGTGTACCCCGCCCCTCGCACAGTGATTGCTGGACATGGGCACCGGCGACCCCCGTGACCCAAAATGGAATAAGCGGGTAAAGATAATGGATGGACAACTAAATATCTCATGTTACAACGTGGACACGTGACTTTTAGTCAAGTGCAGCCTATATACTGTATGCCGTCCATACAGGTCTGAGGTCGTCCAAAAAGCTATCTACAACAGGTAAGATGCTAATCATTTGTAATCTTTCCACTGAACAAGGCTTCAAATGATATGAACTCTCACACTAAGGCCGTTTTGTCATGTCCAACAGTAACGGCCTAAAACAAATTTAAGCCAGTGGTTATACAGGCCTGGATCAGTGACTTCATTGTTTTATACGAGTTGTTAACAGGAGGTTAAGTCTTGTGGCTCTTTTATTTGCATGTCCGTTAGTGGAGATGTTACCGTATTGTCTTGCATCAACACAGAGCTGGTTGATACTTGCTGGGGTCTCGGTCAGAACATTAATGGTGTGGCAAGTTGCATCCATGTTGTAGAAGAAGTAGACTGGCAAGGCCGAGAAAGCAAACACCAGCAGCCACAGCACAGCAAGTACATACGTCACCACTATGAACTGCACAAAAACAAGGAGGGAGAACCATTAAAATTAAATAAAATGCACACAAACCAAGAATATGCAGTAGTTTAACCTAATGGCAGTGTTTACCCATTATTTCTCCGCTTAAACCCACACTGCATGGTTCTATTTGCAGTGAACCAGAGAGAAATGTGTGTTTTAAGCCCACCTAACCTTCCCCAGATCCCTATAATATTGCCACTCTGGGCTTTCTTACTGAGGAGCTGAGGCAGCGGCCACACATGGTGCTCCTGAACTCTCCAAAGGTTTGCTTGGCTGCGCTTGTGGTATAGAAGCCCTCAGCCAGCAGTACAATGCAGTAGAGGAAGAAAAAGGAGGCCAAACCATAGATGACATACTGGAAATATTGAATACTGAGAGAGACAAAAAAAAAAAAAAAGGATTCTTAACCTCAAAACTGCGCATTAGGAGGTTTAATCTGCAAATAACAGGAAGATCATTTTCTAACTTACATGTAGGCCAAGGTGATGTAGTCCTGAAGGTTACGGGCAAAGTACGTCTCAATGAGTCTTTCGGTTTCTGTGAGCGCCTGGTGCCCGCAGCCGCAGAACAGGGCAATGCCAGAGAAGCAGAGCAATGTGGCAATGAGGGAGCAATACGGCACCCCACCCAAACAGCGCATACAGCAATCATAGCAACCTGTTTGGTAGAAAGAGAGCATCAAGTAGTCAGGGCATGCATTTAATCAACACTGCATGACAAACAGAAAAAAGCAGAGCAATACACAACAAAATTGTCAGAGAAAATTAGTTGTTTGAAAGGCTATAAAAAATTATCAGTTTCAATATCTTTTCATAATATCATGAGTTCATTTCCCCCCCTTTCAAGTGAATTTCACTGAATGCTGTTGAAGATATCACAGAACTGAATCAATGTAAATTTAACATTTTCATGTTGCTTGACACTTGCAAGAAATAGATAGGTGATAGATAGCTTCTCGAATGATTTGACAAATACGCCAACAACTATGGTGATCAGAACACAGCAAAGGTAAAAGAGGATTACTGCTGTCCAAACATAACTACAATCACCAAAACTTCATAGCGATGTAGTCTGTTTAGCTTTAGACTTATTTCAAATGAGGCTAACATGTAAAAATAAAAAAGGTTGAATGAATTTACACAAAAAGGTATGGTTATTTACAAGAGTAAATAGCGCCAGCAGTAGCAAAATGAGACACTTTGGGGCATTCAAGGGTCACAACAGGCAGCCGTTTTGTAATACTTACGCTGACTTACCAGCGTAATACTAACCACAACGGACCGGTAAAGAGTCCGCAATACTGCAGATGCTACACCAATCCATCTGTCAACCTTACGCTCCATTCTTCCCTCACTTGTGAACAAAACCCTGAGATACTTGAACTCCTCCACTTGAGGCAGAACCTCACCCTCGACCTGAAGAGAGCAATCCACCCTTTTCCGGTTGAGGACCATGGCCTCAGATTTGGAGGTGCTCATTCTCATCCCAGCTGCTTCACACTCTGCTGCGAACTTCTCCAGTGAGAGCTGAAGGTCACGGCACGATGACGCCAATAGGACCACATCATCTGCAAAGAGCAGAGATGGAATCCCGAGGCCACCGAACTGGAAACCCTCCGCCCCATGGCTTCATCACGACATTCTGTCCATAAAAGTTATGAACAGAATCGGGGACAACGGGCAGCCCTGGCGGAGTCCAACTCCCACCCTGAAGGGGTCCGATTTATTATCGGCAATGCAAACCAAACTCTCACACCGTTTGTATAGGGACCGAACAGCCCATAGCAATGGGCCCCCAATCCCATACTCACGGAGCACCCCCCACAGTGTATCCCGAGGAACACAGTCGAATGCCTTCTCTAAATCCACAAAACACATGTAGACTGGATGGGTGAACTCCCATGAGCCCTCAAGGGTCCTATTGAGGGCAAAGAGCTGATCCAATTTTCCATGGTCAGGACGGAACCCACATTGTACCTCCTGGATCTGCGGTTCGGTCAATGATCGGACTCACTTCTCCAGTATCCCTGAATAGACCTTACCAGGGAGAGTGATGCCCCTATAAATGGAGCACACTCTTCGGTCTCCATTTTTGAAGAGGAGAACCACCTGCCAATCCAGTAGCACTGCCCCCGATGTCCATGTGACGTGGCAAAGGCGTGTCAACCAAGACAGCTCCACAACATCCAGATCCTTAAGGAAATCAGGGTGAATCTCATCCATCCCTAGAGCCCTGCCGCCTCGGAGCTTTTTAACTACTTCTGCGACCTCAACTACAGTTATGGATGGATCAACCCCAAAGTCCCCCGACTCAGCTTCCTCCATGGAAGACATGCTGGTGGGATTGAGAAGGTCTGAGATGTATTCCTTCCACCTCCCGACAAAATCACTTGAGGTCAACAGCACTCGAGAGTCTCTTTTGTAAATCCTCTTAGCATTTTAGGCAAATAACTGTAAAGCAAATATAATGGCAGTGTAAAATTTATTTAATAATAAAAAAAAGAATGCACAGAATAAAAAGTTTTAAAGGGTTAACGTTGTTTTAGCAATCCATTTCATCCGTTTGAACCAGATGATTGTTCCTCTCAGATGCAAACTTTTTCTCCAAACTGAGGCCCTTCAAGAAGGCATCTACAACAGGTAAGATATTTATAACTTTTACACAGAAACCTACATCTGAACAACTCCGTTTAAAAACCTCTTGAAGAAAATGTGCTCAAATCGGACTGCAGCTGTATGCTCTCTTGGCCAAGCAGAGCGCAACAACCACATCTAGTCATGCGCTGCTTGAACGGGTGCCAAAGGTCAAAGGCACGGCAATGTCCTCCACCTCACACCCTGACTCCATTCACCACCCAGCATGGAGTGTGAGAAAAGCAGGATGAGGGACACAGTGAGCCAGAGGGCACGAAAAAAAAAAAAAAAAAAAAGAGGCTACTTTTGTGGCCGAGAGACAACAGTCTTTGTCCTGTAGCATTGTGGGGGGGCACAAGGGCCACCAGTGTCAAGCAAACAAAGAGCAGAGGCACCTCTTAGCTTGAGAGACACACACACATGCAGACTTCCTTCTGAGGGCAGAAACAAGGAAAATGATAGTGGGGGAGCTGCCAGTGCTGGAAGAGGATGGAAATGTGAACAAACAATGCAACTGTGTACATGTGCATCATCACACAGTCTGCATGCAGGCGTACACACAGACTGACAATGGGAGCTGACAGACTGTGGTTGGTACCATTACAGTAAACACAGATGGCTGCAGGGGCAAATACAAAGAGCTTTTTAATTGAAAACATTTACATGACGTTTTGTTGCTAGTCTGGACGAGAATTAAACTGTGATCTCTATCAATCAGATAGCACCGTTTATTTTATTATCGCCTGTCGCCAAAAGTTAACAATTATGGTTTAGCCCGTGTCTGTCAGCAAAACTTCTCAAGAACCACTGGACAATATTTAATAAGGCAGGAAGTAATGATTGGATGCAACTTTTGGAGTCTGCCCAAGTCAAGATGGCCTCCACAACCAACTGACCACGTCACAAAACTCCCCAGAACTCAGTTTTACAGATTTTGATCTAAAATATGGTGCGAGCTGAGACCGATTCCTAATTCTTATACTGGGCGTCATTATTGCGCAACATTTGGTTAATATTTTGCCATGAGACTGTTTAGTCGTTTGTTAGAAAAATATCTAATGGACCACTGGATGGATTTTATTAAAATTCTTAAAGTTTTTTTTTTTTTTTTCCCCATTTACCTTTATTTATCCAGGTAGTCTCATTGAGCCACAAGAACTCATTTTCAAGAGAGACCTGTTTAGGGAGCAGATGGTGGGGCCTTGCTCAGGGACCCAGGGTGGGGCGAATGAGGGTGGAGGCAGGTGTGGGTGTTCCACCTTTTCCACCCACATTTTGATGTTGACGGTATCGGGAGATGAACTTTCGACTTTCCGATCACAGGCCCGTCTTCTAACCTCTTGTGCCACAACTCCCCTAAAAGTAATCATTAGATGTAATCATTAGATGTACATTCATAAACATTTAGAGTCAATCTCAGTCCAGATGGCTGTAATAGCTCAACATTAGCCAACAACACAAGTGACAACAGTCACTTTTACAGTTATTGAGCTAAAATTCGATTTGGTAGTAGCCGAGAGTCATTCACAACTGAGATCTGAGCTTAGATGATTTTAGTACAAAATGAAAGGCGGCGGGCGATATATGCAGTTTTCCCACCAAAGAATGGTAGGTCTTTAACATTTTTAATTATTTTGTAGCAAATGCATTTTCAAAGCAGAATAAATGCACAGACCAGCGGATTCTTCTGTTCAGTCCGCGTGCCTTCATGCGCACCTCTTATCAATTAACCAATTAAGACCAGCAGGACTGTCTGAACTTCCACAGGTTCCCGAATAATGATAATAATATTTGTAATATTTTAAAAAAACATCCTGATCTGTGCATGCAATGCAAAGCTGGGACCAAGTTTGCCTCTGTAAAATAAAAAAGGAAAGAAAGAAAGATTGCAACCGAAAGCAAAAACGACAAGGCTCCTCTGAACGTCTGTCCTGCTCAAGCATGAAATAAATCTCCAGATATTAACAAAATAACTCCTGACGACCTCTCACAGCCACACTTGTACATCCAAAAACTTTGATCTGATCAAAATGAGCATAAGCGGAGAAGTTTCTTACCCATGTCTGGAATGATGCGTTCAGGACCTGTTGATTACGCCGCAGCTGCTTTGTTGATCATATGCTTCTCACTTGCCTTCTGCTCCCCCCAGTATATATCAATCCCAACTTCTGCCCCCCCCCCCCCCCCCCCCCATGAGCACCCCCCACCCCAACAATGGACGGACCCACTGATGACTGCGAGCGCCATCTTAAAGAAACAACGTCGCTTTTCAATGAACTTCAGGGCGGGGGATAATGACGAGGTCACACTAAGTGAGTTCATTGTTCATGCTGGTTTGCATGGAGACAGCAACGTGCATCTTCTTATGCAAATAATCATGGGGGCAGATTTTTTTTCTTCTTCTTTTCTCCATTTTCTTCCCCCTGTGGGAGAGATGAATTCCCTTGAGAAATGACCACCTCAAACTTTAGAAACCACTCTCAGAGGCTTTGTTGTTATGTGGCAAAGTCTGCAAGTGAGACCAATCAAGCAGAAATGAATGGGTTCCCCCAGGGATTAGGATTAGAAGATATAACTTTTTATTGAGCATGACAAAATCATCAAATCTCGTTTTCATGTGTATAAAAAAAACCCCCACAATGTTCGTTTAAAAAAAAAAAGACATTTAAAAAACATTTTAAAGAAACTGAAGAAGGTCAACTTGATAACCTGAGTAAAATGCCTATATTTTGATATATGAATTGTCTAAGAAATATTAAAGCTGCCACCAGTGGGTCATTGATCACCCACGTCTCCCACTCCTTGACAGTGCTTAAATGTGGCAGACAGAAACACAAACTGAAAAGTAAGCCTCAAATAAACAGTTGTAATGCAAAAACTGTAAGTTGTGTTGTTCAACTGTGAGGGTCAGAAAACTCTTGCACTCGCGTTATGTGCCATGTGTTTTTTATTGGTAGAAGGTATATTAAAATGCCACTTTACATCCAGTACTGAAAAGCAAATTGTAAGTTAAAAAACCCCTGAAGTTTGTGGAAGTTTGGGTGTCCGCTCTCTGCACTCTGAAGGGATGCTGGGTGAAATAAAAAAAATATATATAAGAGGTCCTGATATATCATTTATACATGTCCTAAAAACAGTTTACACAGCAGAGTGTGTGACATCATCAAGGTTCAAGGTGACTTTATTGTCACTGCATCACATGTATCACATGTAGTACATGAGGTGGAATGATATTGTGTACTCAACGTCCCAGTTGCACCCCAAAAATAGGAACAATCAACTCTCAGTTGAACCTTCTTCAAAAATTACACTTAAACTGTGATCGTCTAAAAATGTTACATATATCAAAATGTCAGTTCAGACGTGTAAAGTCCAACTTTCTTTGACCCCATTAAAGTTTGATGTTTCTACTGTAAAGCATGTCTGTAAAGCTCCACAGAGTTTCCTCACTGGTTTTGATAAAAGTCTGTTGTTTTGAGACATTTCTCACCAGTTTTTGCATATTTTGTTTATGTTGACACATTAAAAGTAAAGGCACAATATTTCCATTTGAGCTACACATCCATCCATCCATCCATCCATCCATCCATCCGTCCATCCATTATCTTTACCTTCTTCTTCTGTTTTGGGTCGCGGGGGTCACTGATGTTCATGTCCAACCATCACTGTGCGAGAGGTGGGGGACACCCTGGACAGGTCTCAAGTCCATCACAGGGACACATAGAGACAAACAACCATTCACTCTCTCATTCACACCTAGAGACAATTTAGAGTTACCAGTCAGCCTAATATGCATTTTATTTAATATTTTGAATGTTTTATTTTTTTTTAAATCTGGGGAGCATAATTGACAAAAATTGTTAACAAAATAGTTTCATCCCTTTAGTGTCAGGGGTAGATTAGAGGTGTAATATTTAAAAGAACCACTTATGTCCAGTGAGTAGTCCAATGATGCTTCCCAGTTTTGAGGAAATTGTCAGATCCTATCTGACTGCAACGTTGGCTGAACACAAAAGATTTGATCCAGCTGGTGAACCTGATACCTGCTTTATCGTTGCTATCTTAAATGTGCCGTTTTGTCATGGAATGTCGTGCTGAAATGCGAATTAAATGAGGCAAACAAAGCACAAGTGGGTTCTACTGGAAGGCCGACAACGATCTCTGCAAGAGGGGAGAATGGGTGAGGGGGGATCCTGGAGCTTCCTTGGTGTAACAGCAAAAGTAAGCACGTTTCATCATCTTCAGTCATCGTATGATATATGCTCAGACAATCCTAATGAGCTGATCACAAATAAACCACTGGGTCGTTTCCAGCTACAGTTTGTAGCTTGAAAGGAAAACACTTTGCTTTGATAAAATGATGCTCTCCGAGTGGAGCAGAGCGGCGTGGACTCACCCAGACGACCTGACTGGGGCAAAGTGACACTTGTCTCCTAATTCATCCTCAACCACGTTTAGCTCCATTACTTCCAGTAGATGGCAGACTTTCTCCTACCACAGCTTTGATGTTGAAGCAGTAGTTTTCATAAAACAGCACACTCATACATGTGTCTTTTAAATAGGAAATCATAATCATCTATGATTATGACGCTTCAGTTTCACTTTGCAAACTCAGCTGTCAGGCAGGTTAAAGCGTCTTTATCAAAACACACTGACATGAATGTGTTTAGGTTTTAATCCTGTAAAGAGGGTTGTTTAATTTATAATTTGGCTCCTTATTTGATCTCAGTTAATGTAGTGAGCCTCACGGTACACCTTATTAGATTATTTATTTTGAAGCTGCTGGCTCAGACATCCGCAGAGACGCCACTCATGTTATACAAGCTGTATTCTCCACTCTAGGCAGGTTGTTGAACATTGTGTTTTACAGACTCTGTCTCGTTGCGTTCCTTCATTTTTCCTCACACATGCGTGCAACGAACACTTCACAACGCTGTACAGATAAAAGGGCTTTTGGAAACACGAATCCCTCCCCTCCTTGTGTAATTGTGCTTCCAGAATTGTAAACACATTGTATCCTGACTCATTCATATTTAATGGATCGCTTAACCTGCTTTAGATCTAAAACGCGTTCTCTTAAATGCATCAAAGCAAGAAGCCTGTTTTGAATATCTGAACAAAGATTGTGCATGGGTTATTAAAATGAGCACACCTGTTGTGATTCCGTGGGTTCAGAACAGTTGTTTTGTCAGTTCTGGATGCAATCCAAGGTTGTGGGTGAGAAGCGGTGTTATCAAGTGACGGCTGCCAGGCGGAGACTTTAGCTGTTTGTGTGCTTTCCCTCTGCCGCCTCTCACCTGTACGCAGACCTGAGCTTGTCTTTGGGTTACTTCTTTAGAGACTTTCATCACTCTCCCACTGAAGGAACATTAAACCCTTTTGTGTGTCTAAACACTGTAGGCTCCCCATCACTCAGAGTCAGAAATTCGAGAGAGGCCCAATTAACTTAGCAGACGATTACCTCAATTTTCCTACTTAACCTGGGATTTCTTAAAGTTAATGACAGCAGTGCTGGCATTTACCACTGACTTCCTGGGATATGTGATATCTTTCAGTGTACATCATCCATGTTATATCTATAGTGTAAGAGACAATTGTCTTTGCTGTTAAAAAAGTTTCTTATCAGAGCATTTTCTATGTTTTGCTGGTGGAGCACATCGTGTGGGGTTCTTATTGAAAAGCTAATGGGCTTCATTCCTACACAGTGTCTGGTTTTTTGCTCTCAACAAATATCCAGATACAGTGTTTCAGAATCGTCAATTTTTTTTTAATCGTCTTTTTTGTAATGCAAGAAGCCCAAGACAAACACTACAAAGATGTTTAATTCTTTGGCTGTTATCCTGGAAACTGTGAGTGAGATTACGCTTTGTTTGCTTTATTCTGTCATTCATCAGAATAATATTTGTCCTTGAGCCTGAGTGGAATCTCATTCTCTTTTATGTATTCCCTCTTGGGTTTTTGTAGACTTTTATATTTCAAATATAAACACAATGTTACCAGAAACAAAACTAAGGATACCAGCATCAAAATCATGCCGACATACATGTAGAGATCGGATCGAACAGGTTTCACCTCACAGATGGGGGCCATTGAGGGACTTTGAACCAAATCAGATGTCCCCGTCCATGTAGGTGCTCTGTCCAAAGTGCAGTGCTCTGTGCTTTCGTTAACCAGCAGATTAACCCAAACAGTTGTATAAAGTGGAGTTGGCTTCCCGTTGTCTCTCACTACAATGAAGAGATGATGCATCCCCATGTCTTTTTGTGAAAGCTGATGATTTAGGGTGATGTCACCCGATCTTGAGTCTACCTGGAAGGGGTTGGTTTGTTGTGCTGGCCCTGGTGCGATGACAGAATACGTGATCTCAGAATTTAACCCAGAGTCTTCGTCGATGGCGTAGATTTTTGTAATCGTTGACCCTACCAGGGTACTTGGGGAGAGGGCCAAACATGAGGAGTTGCTGCTGGGTAGAATCACTTTTGGCTGGTTGTCATTGATGTCCTCCACAAAGACAGTCACTATGGCAGTGGAAGTTAAAGCGACTGGGTATCCACTGTCACTAACCAACACGTAAAGTTCATAATGGTCTACTGTTTCACGGTCCAGGCTGGTGGTGGTCCTCAGTGTCCTTTGGGTGTTATCCACGACAAAAGGTGTGCTGCTGTTTCCAAGTCGCAGTTCTGTGCTCCCGTTTTCTCCTTCATCTAGGTCTATCACCTCTATCCTTCCCACCTGGGTAAACGGTGGAGCGTTCTCTGGGATGAAGAAGATGAAGTGAGGGGTAGAAAAAACAGGTGCATTGTCATTCTGGTCCAGAACACGAATAATTATAGTGGCTTGGGACTCCAGTGGAGGAGAGCCACTATCTCGAGCAAACACAGTGAGCTTGTATTCTTGCTGCTGTTCCCTATCCAGAGGAGCCAACACAGACATCTGACCTGTGTCTGAGTCAATGGTGAAGATGGCAGATGTGTATTCGTGCAGCCTGTATGTCACCCTGCCTTTGTTGCCACTGTCTGCATCAGAAGCTGACACCTGCAGCAGCGTTATTCCAGGTTGGTTGTTCTCCTCCACCTCCAGCTGGTAGTGAGACTGGAGGAAGTGTGGAGCATTGTCATTGACGTCCTCCACCATCACTCGGATCACTTGCCTAGACAGAGAAATCACAGAGCTTTCAGATGAGATCCCTTGCACTACCACTGAAATGTGATACTCACTTTGTATCTCATAGTCTAGAGGCTTTGAAGTAGAAAGCAGATATTTGCCACTTTGTGGGCTCAAAGAGAAAGGCATGTCACCCTCAATGGCAAGAGATGAGCCTTTAGAGCTACTGTCACCCTCCAGCTCTAAAACAGCTAAGACAGTGGGGGGCTGGTTCTCTGGTAACACCATAGTCTGATTGTGATGCTCAGCTATGAATCCGATCTTGATTGTGAGATCTTGGGTTGCCTTGGGGAGCACAGATATGGTTACCCAAGTGTCTGCTGGGGGGCAGTGAGGGCCGCTGGCTAACACTTTTAACACCAGCTCCTCTGAATTGTTGTTCTGGAGGTCTTGTTTTAATCTGATGTACCCAGTGCGACTATCAAGGGTTAAAAGCTTCTTGGCTCTTTCAGAGACCTGGGGGCTTAGTGAATAAACAATGGCACCGTTTGGACCTGTGTCTGGGTCTGTGGCGATAACCCGAGTTACCACCATATTCTTTGGAGAGTCTCCTGGAATGGTGGTACTGCGTGGACTGTCAGGACCAAAGCTTGGACAGTTGTCATTAACATCTGTCACTGTAACTGTTAAAACCACTGAAGTATTCAAAGGGTGTGTACCACAATCAGTGGCCACCAGCTGCATCTGATACAGGTCCCGAATTTCCCTATCCAGTGCTGTTTGTACAACCAGCATTATTAAAAGTTCATCTTCTTTAGCCTTTATGGAGAAATCTCCTCCAGACCCTTGCAGATGGTAACTTAGTTGTCCGTTATGTCCGGTATCTGCGTCCTGAGCCAGGTCATCTAGGACGAAGCTGCTCCCTACAGCTACATCCTCAGACACCTTCAGGCGTATTTCACTGTTTTGAAAATGTGGTGCATTGTCATTGATGTCCTCTATTATCACAGGGAACTGTACAAGGTCTCCTGAGGGTCCCACAATAGCATTGTGCAGAACAAAGCATCCTTCAGCTTTTGTCTCCTCAGGGCAGAGGCTTTCACGATCTATCCTGCGCTCATTAGTATAAAAATTCCCAGTGTGTTCGTCCATCCACAGGTACTCCTGGGTCAGGAGCTGGTATGGAGGCTGGAAATGTTTGCTCAGCGATCCGACCAGAGTATCAGGCTTCCGTTCTTCTTGAACAGAAAACTGGATAGATCCACATGTGACCTGACTGGTGTGGATTATAACCAGCAAGATCTGAGCACAGGAGAAGGGGGGAAAAAAAAAAGAACAAATCATCTATCTGTATTTACAATTCAGTTTTACTTGAACCTGAAAAGAGTTTAAAAGGTATTTATCCTTTTAGTGACAACTCATGGCTCAGTGAGCTTTCTGAGACACAGGTACAATAGTGGTATTGTCATAGCTCTCATTTATCTCCAACCTGTTACTCTCTCAAACAAATAACACACCAAAACAAATAGAAGAAGGGACATTTTTGTCTTATATATTTACATTTATAACTCAAAGACTCACATCTTTCGCCTTCAGGAGATTTTCAACACGCATAATATCCCATAAAACCAACAGTTTCTCAGTGCCTTCATGTTTTAATACAGTATTTTTAAATTGTGTACTCACGAATAACGTTCCAGTTGCCCTTTTACTCATTCAAAAACACAAAGACAGTAATTAGACGCCAATGAAATTGACGTTCCCTTTTGTCTCACTGACCTGCAGGAGTCCAGCCCAGTTCATATTATAAGGGAGTCCCATGGCCCATTGCCCTCACACATGTTACCCAAGTCCCCCGGCAGCGAGTGATCACTGAGCACCGCGGCAGCACTCTAAACCTGCACACCTGAAGGCATAATTCATTGATGCCCCTCCTACAACACGTACCTTGCTTGTCCAACTGAAAATCTGTATGAGATCTAGAGTTACAACTGGTTTACCTACACGAGACCGAAAACTTGTTTGTGTGATCGCAGCTGAAAAAATGCGTGAGCTCTGGTTTTGTACAAACATGTTGCTTCTAAAGTGCACAGGACAGGACCGACTTGTTAACATCAAACGTGCACTTAGGCAACAGTCGTTTTATTTGTTTTTCCCCCAAGCACACCTTCTTCTGTTCATCATGTTTGAATATGTTTCTCTAAGCATTTAGGTTTGAGGCTCTTCTCTTTAGGAAACACCTATTACTGAGGTGTTATTGTAGTTCTGACAGTTATCAGTTATTTTCAATTTGTAATGCATTCCTATGTGGGAGCATGAACAGACAAACTGATATTGTCTTCAACAACAACAGAAAAGTAACTGTAACTATGAAAAATGTTAAAAACATTTCAAATTCTAATTCTAATGTTTATCTGGACCATATTTTTTACACTGCACTCTGGGTTTGCATCTATCATATGTAGTTTAAAGGGATATTTTGTCTGTTTTGAAGAAGGATTCTGTAGAAAGGAAATGAACAATTAGTATCTTACTTGCTGTAGATAACGCTTTGAATGGCCTCAGTTTGCAAAAAACAATGTACAATTCTGACCGTGTGATCAGTCAAGATCAGGGCTTAATTTGTAAACCGACTGATGCTGTAATGCACGGGGGAGGGAGAGGGCTGGGGGTCCTCCCCCAGAAAACTTTGAATAAAGTAGATGTTATTTCATGCATTTTGGTGTATTTTAACAGGTTTTTAAACATCTACATTTACCTACATTTGTAAACACTCCACTTCTGTCAAGCATCCTACACCCCCCTACCCCCTTCAACAATTTCCTTAGATAACTTGCCATGGCAGGGAGCTCATTTTGTCTCTGTGATCTTTTTTGACTGGGGTGGGGGTGGGAGGAAGCGGGAGAGACACTTATGAGCTGCGTGCTGTTTGCAGTTTTCGAGCGGGGGGGTGGGGTGTTTCAGCATGAGCACTGCCTTAAGCTTTTTAGCTATCTCGCCTGTATTGCATTACGCCAGTGGTGCCAATGGGTGTGTGTATGTGTGTGTGTGTGGGTGGGCACAGTTCAGTTTGGAAAGTGGGGCGCTCGATTCTGTTAATGGGGCGGGGCTTCCCGCTTGTATAATGGTAGGGGAAACACTGCCCTTACTTGATAGTTCCGAGCCTGACACTGTCCCTGCTCTAGGCACCTCCTCCGTCTGTTCGCAGCTGCCTGTGGACTCCTGCCTGCGTAGATTACCACCTGGTTAGCTCAGCACTCACCTCCACCACTTTTTTTAGGGGCGGAGATTTTTTAAGTGTAGACACGGAAATGCTACTTGAAGAGGCAGATCTTACGTAAGTAGCTGTTGTGTTTAAAATTAGTGTTTATGTCATTATTTTCAGTTTACATATCCAACACAAGTTTTATTTATTTAAGGCAGTCATATTTGATCATAACTTTATTATTAGTAAGCCTGAGAGTTGCTGGATCATAGCAAACAGTCACCAGGACACACCTTGTCAAAATAAGAGAGTTCATAGATCCTGTTCCATCAGGATCCGGCTCAAATTAAACCCTGGTCAAGATCAAACAAGATTGTCACAATTTTTAACAACTCTAATTATCAAAATGTCATTGCAGATCATGCAAGGGTTTTCTACCACACAATTCTGCTGTACATGCTTGTTTACATAGAATTTTATGGTTATTTGCAAGAGCAAAAATGTCAGGACCAGCAAGATGTACAAAGTAACACATGTCATGGGTCAGTTCTGTCATGATTTTTATGTTTGTTATAAAAGCACCACTTGTTTTTGTGTAGAATACTTGTCTATGCACATTGTTTTTTTTACCCTCCTGTGTTCACTTTATACCAACTTTGGCTTGTTTGGTACTCACCTTGACAGCCAACCCCAAGTTTATGATTGAAACTGCAGGAAAACACTTTATAAATGAAGATATGCAGATTTAGACCAGTTGTAAAAATAATTATTATCATCATTGACATGGTTTTGACACCTGGATATATTTTCTGTTAAAGGAGGCCTTCCTTTCAGGTGTCAAAATACAACTTGACCTGGCTTGAGGTGGGTTGGAGATGCCCATGACACACAGGTTCAAGATAAATCCTTTGAGAAAATGTTGCTGCACAAACTTTTTGAACATGTTCAAAACTCAAGACTGCAAATCACTACAACTCATGTGAGGAGGCTGAGAACGTCTGCAGATTCTCTTGCCAATGCTGTTTACCAACATGCTCACTGTGTTGCTACCTTTAGCTCATCATGCTGTCAAACTTAAACTCCATTTCTCCAAACTAAGGCTGTTCAAAGACTTATCTACAACAGGTAAGATATTGCTTGTTTACAACCTTTCCACAAAACCTAGTATTGGCTTGAATACCACTTTATAGATAAAACAAAATAAGAGTGAATAAAATTCTTTAATTAGCTAAAACATTAAAAATAAACAGTAAAAACACTGTAGTGTAATATGGGGGTGTCACTTGTAAAGTTACACATTAACAACAATATTTTGGTTTATTTAGCCTTTCATAAAAAAATATTTTTTTTTTTTCAAAGTTCAAATTTCACTATGTTATTCATATATTTATAAATGTCATAGATCCAAACTAAATATTTAATTTACAAGCTAAATATTTAGTTTACAAACTAAATACTTAACTTGCAAGTTAAATATTTAGTTAGCAAGATAAATATTTCGCTCCACACTAAATGTTTAGGTTACAAACAAAATGTTTATGTCCAAGCTAAATGTTTAATTTACAAACTAAATATTTAACTTCCAAGTTAAATATTTAGTTAGTAAACTAAATATTTAGGTGTAAATTAAATATTTAATTTCCAAGCTAAATAGTTATTTTCAAAACTAAACATTTAATTTCTAAGCTAAACATTTAATCCCTAAACTAAATGTTTAATTTGCTAATTAAATATTTAGCTTGGACCTAAATATTTATTCGCTAAGCTAAACATTTAATTTCCAAAATAAGTATTTAATTTGCTAACAAAATATTTAGCTCGGACCTAAATATTTATCTTGCTAGCTAAATATTTAGTTTGTAAATCAAACATTTAGCTTGGACATAAACATTTAGTTTGTAAACCAATTATTGAGAGTGGAGCTAAATATTTAGCTTGCTAACCAAACGTTTAGCTCAGACCCAATGTTGAATATTTAGCTAGCAAGTTAAACATTTAACTTGGACATAAACATTTAGTTTGTAAATTAAATATTGAGCGTGGAGCAAAAATATTTAGCTTGCTAACTAAATATTTAACTTGTAAGTTAAATATTTAGTTAGCAAGCTAAATATTTAGCTCATAAATAAAATATTTAGTTTGAAACTATGACATTTATAAATGTATGAATAACATAGTGAAAATATGACTTTGGAAAAAAAAGATTTTTTTCTCATGAAAGGCTAAATAAACCAAAATATTGCTGTTAATTTTTGACTGTGTACCTACCCCGTAGTGTAAGCTAAATTTATTAGAAGTAATAATAACTCTTAAAGGCTTTTTTTTTTTTTTTACCTTTTCAAGCTTCCTTTTTGGTTTAAATTTGAAGTGAGGACAACTTATGTATAGACTATAGCATTACTATACTGTAGTAGTAAAAGTACATCCTTAAAGGATTCCAGATTCTTCACCATTAACCAAAGGTAAAAAAATGGCATCAGTTTGTCCTGAGACCAGCTCTGTAGAAGGTGAGGGACCTCTGTAGGCAGAACTAAGTTCTGCACGCCTCACCACAAAGCTTGTGTGTGTGTTTTCCCTTGCAAAAGCAATTCATCTAATCAAGAACTTGAAAACTCTCAATTTAGGTTTGAGAGTCATGTGACCTGGCATCAGATTTTCCTGCACAAAAAAAGAAAAGAAAAGAAAAACAAGAAAGAAAGAGAGAGAAACTTTGAAACAGCAAACCCCCACATTAACTCCTGATGGTCTCTCTCATTTTAAAGGCATGTGAGCTATTTCCCCTCTTCTGGTTGCATAACGGTTTATTCATATCTCTGTCATTTTACTTTCCGCCCTCTTCCCCCCACCCCCAGTTTACAGCAAACTTTGAGGTTTTCCTGTGACGTGATTGGTCGGACAGATCCTCTAACTGAGCTGCTGAAGAATAAAACTCCAGTGCTGCCTGTCAGCAGCTTCAAAAAGTTCCTTTGAGCAGAAAAACACACTGAACGTTGAGTTTTTCCCACAGATCCAACATGTCTTCAGACATCCTCGCCGGTGAGTCCAACTTGACTTAATAACTTTATTGATAAATTATAGAAAATTGAACAATTTGTTAAGTCAGAAGGTTCTTATGATATCACAGTTTTAAGACTTTAAGTTTACATCAATTTACCCCAATTTGACATTTTTATCAAATTCTTTTTTATACATGTGCATTTCACACTTTTTAGTCTTTTATTTTATTATTTTATTTAATTGGTCATGAATGTATATTTAAACATCAGAATTAAAAAAATACATAAACAAATGATAACTTTCAGTTTTTTTTAAAAGGAAGACAAAAACCTTTGCTTTATGACGTTAACTTAAAACATGGTATATTGTATTGATGCTGATTAATAAATGATTTTACAAAAGTACTTCATTTTTCTAACGATATATTTCTCCGACACATTTATTGACAGTTAAGACAGACGTGTTTATTGACAGTTAAAGTTATCTGATGGAGCCAAATTATGTAAACTTTTTCTTTAAGATAATCATTTTCAATCACAGAACCATCATAAGGTAACAATAAAAAGGATTACCAAGTGATTCAACTTAAATATTCATAAAATAATAACAAATATAGTGAGGTTATATAAAATAAAATACCACATAATGGTAATAAATGTTATTAAATGTAAAAGATAATTTATAACAGGGTCCAACATGAAGAGAAATACACTACAACAGGAGGTTATGTCTGGATATTCCAAAACAGTGTTTTTATTAATATTCATAAATGATGAATGTAGGAAAAAGTTCCTTCCAGTAAAAATAACATTTATGTTAAAGTACCTAATTCTGCATGAATGACATGCCAGTAGGTCTGTACTGGTTTATTTGTAAAACAAATAAAAACGGTTGGCTTCCTGAGGGTCTTAATGTCTCCATAATGATTTCAATTTCAAGTTTATTAAGATTAAATGTTTAATTAAACATTTTCAGATGGTAAAGTCTTTAAATAACAGCTGTTTTTAAACCACTTATACATTTTTTGCTCTAACTGGGTTCAGTCAGTCTTGGAGTTTTCTTCCAGTGGTTTGTAACGCTTCTTTTTAACCACGGTCACATTTTCCACAGACTTTGTGTCGGAGCTGGGAGAGGAGCTGCAGGAGTTCCAGGATGTGGTGGAGGAGCTGAAAGCCCCCTCTCAGAGCAAACCTCACGCTTACCAGCACGTCCTGCACGAGGCGAAGAGCCGCACAGGCCAGGGCGACGACAGCGGAGTGGAAGACTCTGACTACAGTGAGTTTACACAACAGGATGAGGATCGTGCGCTCTCCCTGTGTTTTGATGGGAAAACAGTTTTTGTATGTTGTCCCTGCACTCAAGCATCTTTATTAGCCCCGACAAGTGCAGTTTGACATTTGAAGTCTGCTCACAATTAGCAGCACATCTCTACCAAAGTGGCTGTTCTGATAATGACAGCAGCCCCGTAAGAGAATGAACTCCAATTATGGAGAACCCATCTTTCCTAATGGTCCCTTTTTTTCTCCTTTCTATTGTTGCTCATTTGTCAACGGTTGGGAGATAAAAGAGGTGTTTTCCTCTGCTCCCCTGCGTCATCATTATTGGAACCATGTTGGCCCAGTAAAAGGCGAGCTGCTTGTTCTCAAGCTGACACGTGGGAGTCACTCGCAAACAGCTTTACCTTCATTGCCTTCAGATTAAAAAAAAATCTTTATTTATTTTTAATTATTTTTCCGTTCATATTTTTGCATTTTGACTACATCTATGCTTATTGCACACTGCTATTTTAACCGTTCACATATCAAAATGTTCAGGTCACTCCAGAGATGGCTGCTTTGACTTTTGGTATTTGAAACTGTACACTTTTCATAATATTTCACATTATTTACAGTTTTCCTACTGACATTATACTGTTATTTATACCTTATATACTGTTTCTTTTTATATTTTTTATATTTTTGGGTGTAACTGGGACCTTGAGTACACAGTTTTGTTCCACCTCATGTACCACATGTGAAGCGGATGACGACCTTGAACTTGAAATACTTTGAAATCTCAGAAATTCCTTCAAAAACATTTTTTTGTGAGATCTGCTTCAACTAACTTGTTCTGTTTTCTTGAGCTACCTTTACTTTTTAGCTATTGTTCTGCTAAAAATGATAAATTGCAGCTAGACTCAATACTTTTAGCTGTTAGTTACAGTTTTGCTACTTTTAGCTAGCCTTTTGACATTTTTTAGCTAGACTTCTTTATTTTTCACTTCTACTAAGCCTTTTGTTACTTTTAGTTGAAATGTATCAGTTTGCTAGTTTGGGATTATTTTTAGCCTTTTGATACTTTAAGCTGACCTTTAGCTCATTTTAACTTTCAGTTGAAGGCCATTGTGCTACTTTAGTTTTTAGCTAGCTTATTGCTAGTGTTAGATTTTAGGGAAGGTGGCGCAGAGGTTAGAGAAGGTGGGCCTGTGATCGGAAGATTGCTGGTTCAACTCCCGGTACAGATGACATCAAAATGTGGGATAGGTGAAGCACCCACACCTGCCTCCACCCTCATTTGCCCCACTGTGTGCCCTTGAGCAAGGCCCTGAACCCCAACCATCTGCTCCACCGGGCGCCCCACATAGCAGCTGTCTGCTCCACACAAAGGGCTGTGGTAGCTCGGTGGAACAGCCAGAAGAAGAAGAAAAAGAAGATAGTTTTAGATTGTTTTAAGCCTTTTGCTACTTTCAGCTTCTAACTATTTTTAGCTTATAGCACGCCTATTGATAATTTTAGCTAATTTTAACTTTCAGTTGCAGGAGGCCTTCTTTGGTAGGCCTATTGTCTTATGCTTCACTACTTTTAGCTTTTATCTCGCCGTTGACTGCATTTAGCTTCGATGCAGTGTTTTGCTACTTTTAACCAGCTTTTTGTCTTTATTTTATTATTATTAATTTTAGCTTTAACAGCAGTTTTAGGTTTTTTCAGCTCAACATTCACAATGTATTTAAAAAAAAAACAAGACGTTTTTATATCATACTCTTCTCATTATGTGCAGGTTGTGCATCACAGTCACTGATGATTTCCATGGAATGCCCCGAGTGCTTATTGTCTCATGTCGCTCTCTTCCCTTCAGGCAGTGGGACTTCTATGGGGAACAGTTTAAACACCAGTGAGGAGGAGCTCCACACTGCAGGAGTAACACAGACACAGAAAGGTACTGCATCTATGGCAAGCCCTTTTAACATAAAATCGAGTAGTCTGACTATCTGTAGTTACATTCTAGATATCTTAAATTGAGTTTTGACTAGGCACAATTACATTTTGACTAGTCAGAATGCTAATTTAAGATATCTTGAATTACATTCTGACTAGTCAGAATAACAATTCAAGATATCTTGAATTGCATTTTGACTAGTCAAAATGTAATTCAAGATATCTTAAATGACGTCACCTGATTCGTCATTTGACGGGTCAAACATCCGTAATTACAATTCAAGATATCTCGAATGTAATTATGACTAGTCAGAATGACACTTTTAGATATCTTGAATTAAGAAATGACGCGTAGGACCCGCGGCTGCTACTTAGCTGTTCAAACAGCTGCCTGCAGAATTTTGGGTGGCTGCAATGGCGCTAGCTGTTCTGGACAACATTGTTAGAAAATGCCACAACTTCCTGTGGCTATAGTGTTAGCGTTAGACAGTGAGGAAAATGGCTCAGTCTCTGCGCTGTTGTTTTTGTTCAGTTCCTGGTTGTTCTTGTGGGGCAAGAAAACCACCGTATCTGTCCTACCATGCTTTACTGCACTCACACAGCCTGCTTGAGTCACCATAATTAGGCAGTGTCTTACCTGAGAGAAGACTGACTGGCTTTTGGAGTTTTGTATGTGAATGTGAGGCCCATGTTTGTTTGTTTTGCAATTCTTAAGTATTATTCATATTTATTTTTGTTAATTTCATATTTATATTCCAGGTTGAAGGTGACAGTTGAGACTCGTGTAGTTCTGTTCCACAGTGTTTACTTGTAAACAAACCCAAGTGTCTTTTCTGTGTATAAATGATGTCCTTGGGTGAAAGTCCTAAGGTGGTGTTGCAGTAAGTTTATAAAATCAAAATAACATCCATACCCAAGCTTGTCACATGTATGTAAATTGTTCTAGTGTTACGTAGTTACCGGTAGATAGTTTGTTTTGAATTATTTTAAACATTCTTCAATTAAAACACACTTGAGCAGCATACTGTACTGTTTTTTTATTTGTGGATTGATTCAGTTGAATTACAAGGAAAACAAGTGCAATTTACAATATCTAGTAAAAACAAAAAACATGTAACTATTTAAGTTAACATTTTATAACTGTACACTATAAATTGATAGTGGATTATAGATATTTTATCAAATTATGTAATTTCAAATTAAATAAATTGGCACATTTATGTATTTTTCATGAATAACTATTTACAGTATTTACATCTAAAAAGTTAAGTCTGGTCCTCTGGACATTCAAAAAAACAAAACAAACAAAAAAGAAGAAGGTAGAAACATTTCGTCTTTCATCCGAAAGGCTTCTTCAGTCTGAGGTGCTGCTCAAAGTCAAAAGTCACTTTTATTGTCAAAAACTGCAACATGTACAGGACATACACAGGATTGAAATTACATTTCTCTCAGACCCCGGTGCAACAATAACCATTTAACATTAAAACATTTATTAAACATAAGCATAAAATGAAGTAATAAATGGTTCACACATTTACACATGGTTGTCAGCAGCAAACTGGTTATCCACTCTGAGAAGGTGCTATTTAAGAGACTGAGCTGAAAACAGCACCTCAGACTGAGGAAGTCTCTCGGATGAGAGACGAAACATTTTTACTTTTTGTGTGTGTTTGTTTTGCTTTTTGAATGTCCAGAGGACCAGACTTAACTTTTTTAGATTTTCCTACCTGGATCATTGAGCAGCATCAAGATATAGTATTTACAGTGATTCACAGCTTGAGACTGATTAAAAATATGAAGGAACAAAAGGGTGATTTATAAATTTTATGTTTCTTGCTGCATTGATATAAACACATGGATGAAGGTGTTGAAGTAAAACATGTCCAGTTTAGACTTCATCTGATCAATCAATCGATCATCAATCCATTCATCACACCATACCCGTTCAACAGTTATTGTTTAGTGTACCCCCTGATCATCTGAGCTGCCAGTGCTGTCAGCAGACTCCTCCTCCGCACTTCCTCTGTAAGCAACACGGAAAGTGGAAACAGCTAGCAGTAAGCCTTGGTTGTCGAAGCTGTACCCACGCAGGACATCTGGACTGCTCCCTGGTTCTGGCCTGTACTTCATGTGACACTTGCAAAGACTGAAGGTGCATAAGTTGACCGAGTGTGGCCACAAAACACATGTCGGGAAGACTATGCAGCATTGAAGGAAGAGCAGGAGGTCTGGAGCCATGTGGTGCAGAATGATGCTGCGCAGGACTTCTCAGGTGGACACTGGTGAGACCTCAGTGAGCCCTGTGGCACAGGACCAAGTCTGGATGGTACCAGCTCCAAAGCTGAGAGACCATCTCTAGGATAAGTGTGATAAGTGGTTGGGACTCCAGCAGGTGGTTTTTGTCCCGATGCCAGGATGTCAGGATCTGGAAGTGGTCCTACAAAACACACGAGTGACAGAATCACAATAAGTTTTGACAAAGGAAACATGGACATAAAAACATTAACCCAAAGGTTATACCTGTGAAAGCTCTGTAAAGCGTGGAGTGCAAACATCTTTTCACCACAGTTTTGAGCTTTCACACCACCACCACCTCGCTGGCAGGTTCAGGATGGATTCCCTTACAAGAAATAAACATAAAAATATGTCAAACTAAAAAATAAATAAATGTAAAGAGACAAGTGAGCAATTTTCTAGGACACAGTGGGACAGATTTGAGAGTTAAGATTTTTACTTAACTTGCAAATATTACTAATCCATAGAGGTTGAACCTGCATTTATTCATTACCTACAAAAACAAACAATTCTAAACAAGTTAGGAGAGAAAAATATATTTGACACAAGTAATATTGAGATTATGACAAATTTCACATGGCACTAATAATATACAGGTGGGAAAGTTATTACAGTTATTGTTATGAGAATCATAACCATCATATACTAAATAATGTAACAGAAAAGAATGTGTTCCACTCTTATTTTATTTTTTTACCTGTGTTCTTTGTCTGTGCCATCTTTGTAAATCTCTTGTGCGGGCCAGTACAGGAGGACCAGTTGGCAGCTGGAGTTGGGAGTAGTGGGCAGTCTGGTAAAAAAAAAAAAGTGCAACTACATGGTTACAAAAACCTTTACCAGCTGCACTTCTACAGAAATAAGCCAACATTTCTTTTTTCAACACACAATGAGATCTAAAATAGATCTGTTTTTAGCACACACACACACATATATATAATTAATACTTGTTATAACATATTTAGCTTTAAACAAGTAATAGATTGTATAATAGATGGATTCACTTAACACATCAACTTACATATACACAGCACGCTACATACACACACAAACATATGTTTGGCACTAATGGAACCTCATAAAAATATAATAAAAAAATGTATATCATGTCTGTCTCAAACACTCCAAATAATGTAGCACACTAAATTAGGCTTCTTTATTACGATGTTTATGCGCTTCATATGTTGTAGCTAGCGGTTAGCTTGCTAAGCTACGTCTTTTCTTACCTTGACAGCTGTGGATATTTTCTTCATGGAAGAGCTTTTATCCTTTCACGTTTATTAGTTCGAGAATTCGCCGCTGCGATTTCCTCCTCAGCAGCGAAAGAAAAGTTGGCAAATTAAGCAAAGATGTTGAAAAGAGAGACATTTCTCCTCAGTGCAAAGACTCGCAAAGCAGGAAGTGTCGGTTTCCGGTTGTCGTGAAAAAGACGTCGCAAAAAAAATCTTCTTGTTGCAGATACAATAAATAATCCGAGCTGCCGCGTTAAAAATCATGTTAAAAATACGAGCGTTGTGTTGGACTGACCTGATTTTGCAGATTATAAAATAAAAATGCTACAATGCCTTATGATTTTTCCGCCAAAATGCTACGTAAATCTGTGACGTTTTGACTAGTCAGAATAACAATTCAAGATATCTTGAATGTCATTCTGACTAGTCAAAATGTGAATTCAAGATATCTTAAATAGAAAAGCCGTCTACATGATAAAATATTCAAGATATCTTGAATTCATTTTGAGATATCTTAAAAGGAATTTTGACTAGTCATAAGTACAGTTCTAGATATCTTTAAGTTAGTTTTGCCTAGTCGTTATTTGCTTTCAAGATATCTACAATTTAATTTGCACTAGTCAAAACTTCATTTGTGATATCTACAAATACATTTAAGATATCTTGAATAATGACGTAATTTAAGATATCTTTAATTGTAATTATGACTAGTCAGAACTAAAAGTGAGATATCTTGAAAGCAAATAATGACTAGTCAAAATTAACTTAGAGATATCTAGAACTGTATTTTTGACTAGTCAAAATTCAGTTCAAGATATCTTGAATTGAAGCCTCCATACAACTCAATGGTAAATCTGACGTCATTATGACTAGTCAGAATGTAATTAGAGATATCTTAAATAGGTATTTTGACTAGTCAAAATGTAATTCAAGATATCTTAAATAACCAATATGTCTAGTCAAAACTCAGTTTCAGATATCTGGAATGTAAGCGTGGTGAATCCTATTTTATGTTAAAAGGGCTTGCCATACTGCATCCTCCTATCGGCCCATCTCCATCCAGATAGCCTTTGTTTTTTATCGTTGATCACTATCACTTTTGCACTCAAAGCCTCTAGGAGCTCTTTTGTTTTAACACAACAGAGCCCCTCCCGTTGCGACTGTAACTACTCAGCCTCCCGCTCTTTCAAAGTCCCCTGCAGTTTGTTTGCTGTTATTCACTCGCAGCTGCGCACATGTGTGTGCGCGTTTGTGTATGACGGGTTCTGATGTATTTAAATGCATGGATTGATAAAGTGAGTTGCATGAAAACAAGAGGCCTGACCCCGAAGGTGTCATTTGCTCTGCATGGTTTTCGTGCCCAGAGATCCTGCTGGAATCAAGCTGTCGAAGGTTTTGAGGCACATCTCTGCTACATATCATGCAACTTCAGGCATCAACCTTAAAATCCAAGAAAACAAATTAATTAGTTTTACAGACAATGGCATAACATTTGCTGTGGTAGTCGAAGATCATCCTAAGAGCTTACAGACTCAGATGCCTTTGTGCACATTGATACTATCAAGAATTGACCAAAAGGGCCAAAGCTTCAATAAATTTCCACATGAAATGGTTTTATTTCAAACTTAGGCATTAAAGAAATGTTGGGCAATAAGCGTTCCTTCAGGATATGCTAGGCTTTCTTTTTCTTCCTGGGATTTGGACGAGTGTTGAGCCAAAATACCACAGCCTGAGCTGCACTTTCCTGAACAAATGTTCCCTTTGGTGTTTTTTTTTTTTTTTAAATTAAAATTATTATATTCGTTTAACTCTTTCTCTACCATTCCATTGCAGCCAAGCTGGGAGACACAGATGAACTCCAGAGTTTTATCGACATGTTGGACCAGGAACTCGCTGGTGCGTATTTCGCTCCATCTCATCTTTCGTCCTTTTCACACTCGAGCCGACGAGCCAGCAGGCTGTGGCGTGTTCTGGTGGCAAACACACTGACAGGGCTTCGCACGCTTTGAAAAAAGAAATGGAACAAAACAAAATAAAAGCATGCAGCAGTAGCCACGTTTTTTCCCTCTCGTCTGTGGCCCTTCTGTTTATCTCTGAGCACCTTTTATGTGGAAATGCCAACGCTCGGGCACTAAGGTGGACTATCTACAAGCTCTTTTGTGTTAATGGTGCACTTGACTCCACGAGCATCATGATCCTCCTATCTGCACTAAGAGAGTGGTGCTTTACAGGTGCGTGAACTGCTCCGTGCACGCACATGGGCCGTAAAGAATAAAACATACATCTAATGCTGTCAACAGTTTCGACACGGAGAGAACTAATGTTGCAAATTAACCGTTACTCCCCCTCTATCTCTACAAGGCCAACCTATTAGTCAGTGCATGTTTGCTTGTGTGCGTTGATGTATGCCTGTGTGCATTTCTTTTTATAAACTCTTGTTGTTCTCTTTTTTCTTCTCTCGCATCCCCTCCCCAACCCACCCTTGTTTTGCAGAGATGTGAGACGAGATCGAGAGAGGGTGAGGCTCTGAGCAGAACACGAGATCTACACCAGAGCGGATCTGACGGAGCCAACGCTTCTGCCGCTTCAGGGCCGAAATGAAAACAAACAAAATCACCTTCAGAAACTAAAAGGACGCTTCATTCTGAAATACAACAACAGCCTCAGGTGCCTTTGGCCAGCGCCACGCCCAGCCAGCAACACGACGGCCCTCCAGCATCAGGTCCAAAATGTGTGACGCATTTCCCACAAAATAGACAATGTTTTCCATCTGTCCAAGAGGAATAGAAAGCACAACTTTTGGTTTTATTTAAAATCCTTAAATGCCAGCAAAGGGTCCTAATTCCTCCTTGCCATATTTATTTTTTAAGTCAGGATTTTTTTTTTCCTGCTTTATAAAAACAAATGGCACTTTAGCTTTGAAATCGATTTGAAATCTAAACACTTTAGATCTGCTGTTGGATACGTACAGACTGGTATTTGCATTGTACATTTATTGTTAATAGTATTTTTCACGTGTTGTGCATATTTATATGTTCGTAAATAAAGCTTTGTATAAGTTCCATTTCGCTATTTCATTTCCTGACAAGAGTGTAGAGACACATCTGATTTTACGCACCATGTTACTGTCTCCATACATTTACATTCCTCTAAATTGACTGTTACCAGTGTCAAGCTTTCCGCCTCGGCAGCTTCTCACTCTTTCTTTTCTGTTTGCGTCACATGCTTCCTGTCTGTTCTGATTATGCTGGGAGTTTCACTTCTACCACCAACTCCGGAAAACTGCAAATGTAGCTCGGACGAGTCTCACACACCATGTGATGACGGCTGATAGAGGAAGTACGTGACTTGTTGTGAGAGAAACAATGCTCGTTTGGGTTTTGTGTAATTCTGTGCTGGGCCTTTGTCACATATGAAAAACCCGTTGAAGCTTTGACTTAAAAAAATAGAAATATTTCTTCGCATTTGGTCTCATCTGGAAACCTGAGCAGACAGGATGGCTGCAAAAGTTCCGATATTTGTGGGATTCTGTGGAAAGGTTATGGAAAATTGCTGTAAACGTTTGTGACCCCTCGCATTTTTCCACATTTTGTCATGCAAAAACCACAAACTTCATGCGCTTTAATGGGATTTTATGTGTTAGATCAACCCAAAGTTGTGTTTAGTAGTGAAGTAGAAGGAAAATAAATGCGGTTTTACACTGAAAAATCTGAAGTGAGCGGTTTGCATTTGGATTCAGTCAAAACTACTTTTAGATCTAATTACAGCTGCAAGTCTTTTGGTGTCAACCAGCTTTGCACATAATGACTTTATAATGTTTTTGCCTATATTTTTGTGTGCAAAACACAGTAACTGAAGCTCAGTCACATAGGATGGAGAGTGTGAGCAGACATGTTTGAGTCTTTTCACAGATTCAGGTTGTTTGGACTTTGATTGGGCCGCTCTAACCCATGCATATGATCCAGTCTAAACCAGGGGTGCCCACACATTTTCAGCATGCGAGCTACTTTGACCAAGTCCAAGTGATCTACCTAGTATAAAAATACAAATCATATACTTACATATTAAGTATTCTTTATTTGTTTTATGTCCTGGCCCGCTGTGGACGCAACATTAATGACAAAACCCAAAAGTTTGTATAAAAAAAAGTGACAAATTATTTTTACTGTCCGTGTACAAAGTAATAAACAAAACAGCAATCCAACAATGTTCAGTCAGGTCATCTGGACGTTTTTTTTTTTTAACTGCTGTTGAGACGTTTCGTCCTTCATCCAAAGGACTTCATCAGTTCGAGGAGCCAAGCAAACTAGTCCCACAAGCAGCACACTCACATAGCGAACCAACCAGTTAGCTGGTGATAAGATGATTTCTGGGGTCCGACCTCTCCCCCGTCGACTCTTCTGAGGCAGCCATAGCCAAAGTGGTTTAAAACATCAAAGTTCATGCTCAATAATCCACAATAAAACACAGCAATAACTTGCATTCTTCGCACAAAGGAACTGAAAACAACAAGAATAAGTTCATGTTTGAAAAACAACTTGAGAACAAAAGTGAAATTTCCAAAACAAGCAAAAAAACACAATCCCAACTAAGAAGGATGAGAAGTGGCTCAACCATGAGAAAGAAATCTCTTCCAACAAATGTGTCTTGGCTACAAAGTTCGCAACCTAACGGAAACAAGAACGAGTCAGCTGCTTCAACAAATGCCTCTTTTACCATCTCCTTTTAAGAAAGACTTCTTGTTTTTAACAATTAAGTAACTCAACTGGAATGATGCTTCAGTAGCTGCCTTTGCTTCTGTGGTCAGCTGTATGAAAAATGACTGATGTCTGGATAAATGGGATTTTACTTCCTGCACCTTTTTCTTTCTCAGCTCGCTTTTCGTAAGGAAGTCAGTGTCGTAGTTTTTATGAATACAGTAGTCCGAAAATGTCACTTCACATTTCCCTTCTTCAGAATAGGTACACTTTCAGATGAGGCAAACACACTTAGAATATGACATCATGAAACAAAGTCCTCCTCCCATTCTGTATAGAAATGGTAATATTTTTTGCTTCTTACTTGGTCCAGCTCCCCAACTCATTTTACACACTGTCTTGATTTAGAGTCAAGAGTTTCTTTATTGTCATTCGCACCTCATGTGGTACATGTGGTGGAGCGAAATTATGTACACGGGGTCCCAGTTACATCCAACAATAAAATGTATAAGAAAAACAGTAACATCTAAGATATGAACTAAGAAAAACATCAACTAAATATACACTAAGCACTCATAACATAAAACATTGAACATCAGCACAAACATGAACATGAGTCTGTGAGCAGATGTGCACGCATGAACACATCAACATTGAAACAGATCAGCAGCAACATGAAACAGATCAGCAGCAACATGATATGGTTTTTCACAGTGATTATTCTAGTTAGAGATTCATGAGTCTAACAGCCTCAGGGTAGAAGCTGTTCCTCAGTCTAGTGGTTCTACACTTAATGCTCCTCAACCTCCTTCCTGAGGGGAGTGGGGCAAAAAGTGTGTGTGCTGGGTGAGTGGGGTCCTTCATGATGCAGGTGGCCCTCTTCCTGCATCTGGAGGTGTAGATGTCTGTGATGGTGGGGAGGCTGATTCCGACAGACTTCTGTGCAGCCTTCACCACTCTCTGCAAAGCTTTTCTTTCTGCAGCTGTGCAGCCTCCATGCCACATGTTGATGCTGGAGCACAGGATGCTCTCCACTGCACACCTGTAGAAGGAGGTGAGGACTGAGCTTCCCAGACCAGCTCGCCTCAGCCGTCTGAGGAAGTAGAGTCTCTGATGAGCTTTCTTGATCAGGCTGGTGGTGTTGTTGCTCCAGCTGAGGTTGTCATTCATGTGTACACCCAAGTACTTGTAGCTGGAGACCACTTCCACCGCAGATCCTCTTATGTTCAGGGGGGTGTAGAGATTAGAAAACATAAACTGGAGGCTATTACTGGGCAACTCAGTAGTTTTAGGCATGGTTGGATGCGCCTGCATGGTGACCTATGTGTCAGAAAAGGTCAGATTGGCTGCTCTGTATGTCAATCAAGTGACAAATTTCATAGTGAGGATGGACGATAGGCTGACGTCTATTTTTTTAATGCCATGCGTTCTAACCATATTTGCGATCGACCGGTATACTGTACATATTGGGCGCCCCTGATCTAAACCGAGATATACTGTAGCTCTGGCTGCATGTTTCAGGTCGTTGTCCTGCTGGCAGGTAAACCTCTGCTTCAGTCTCATCTCAAGTCTTCTTCAGCCTCTAACAGGTTTTGTTACTGGACGGCCTTGCATTCAGTTCCATCCATCTTCCCATCAACTCTGAGCAGCTTCCCAGTCCCTGCTGAAGAAACCCATCTTCAAAGCGTGATGCTGCCGCCATGTTTCATAGTGAGGTGAGCGTGCTCAGGGTCATTATGAGTAGTGTTAGTTTTCCCCCACATTTGGGAGAGATGGTGCAGAGGTTAGAGAAAGCTCAGTGTTGGAAGGTTGCAACAGAATGCCATCAGGTGTAAAAACGATTGTCAAGTCTTCGTGCGGTGACTGTGACAACCTCTAAAGAAGGGAACACCTGAAAAAAAAAGTTGCATTCAGGATACAAAGGTCAGTTTTGGCTTCATCTGAGCAGAGCAGCTTCTTCCACGTTTGCTGTGTCTTTTCATGACTTTTGACAAACGGCAAATTGGACATCCTGTTGCTTTCTTTCAATGGAGACTTTCATCTTTCCACTCTTCTACGAAGGCCAGATTTGTGAAGTGCAAGACTGATAGTTGTGCTGTTGACAGATTCTCCAACATGAGCTGTGGATCTCCGCAGCTCCTCCAGAGTTACATTAAACTTTGTAGCGCTTTGTAGATCAATACTCTCCTTACCCGGCCTTTCATGTGAGGTAGACGGCCATGACGTACTCTTTCCATTTTTAGATGATGGGCTGAACAGCACTTTGTGAGATGTTCAAAACTTTGGATATTGTTTTACAACCCAACCTTGCTTTGGAGTTCTAAACAACCTTCCTCCTGACCTGTCTGCTGTGCTTCTTGGTTGATCACTAATTCATTCAACCTTTATTTATACAGGTTCGTCTCATTGATTACGAGGACTCATTTATAAGAGAGAGAGACGTTTTAAACAAAAACCATAAATGAGATACATAGACATTCATATAAAAGCATATAAAATGAATAAAAGAAGTGACATAAAACAAAATAAAAAACAAGCTACATTATAAAACGGTGTAAAATGCTATAAACAGGAACATGTTTGTATTGATTTTTGCATTGAACTTAACAGTTGTTTAAAATCCCTTAGAGAGGTCAAGATCGAGAGCTTCCGATCTTTTTGCAAGGTGTTCCAGGTCACAGGAGCAGAGTAAGAGAAAGCCCTTTTGCCATATTCAGTCTGCACTGATGGGACACTACAGGTTTTAGGAGCGCACGCTGTAGCTGCACTGACGATGTGACATGTAGGAGGAGATATATGAAGGCAGCAGACCAAGAAGTGATTTAAAGTAAAACTAATGCTACAACACTAATAATTTAAAGTAGTAGTACTAATATTATGTAATAAATATCAGCCTTCATAGAACAGCTCTGTTTATACTGTTTACTGGTCACTAAGTGACTTCTAAAGGTAACTGGCTGCACTGGATTGTAGTTACCAGTAGGTGTATCAGAGTAAAAC